ACTCCTCCGAGTCATGTTAATACTCATATTCCCCGAGGCACAGGCCGTGGGGGGGGAGTGGCAGCTATTTATGACTCCTGCCTTTTAATAAACTTTAAACCTAAGGTGAATTATAACACATTTGAAAGCCTGGTTTTCAGTCTTTCGCAACCAACCTGGAAAAGTCACAGCTCTGTCGAGTCGTGTATTCCTTTGGACCTCACTAGTAACAACTTCATGAACTTCTTCGATGATAAGATTCTGACTATCAAAGAGAAAATTGATGGTCTCCTGCCTTTAACCAGTGCCGACCTGTCCTCCGATGTAGGAACCTTGGATGCAGCAGTGGGCCCTGATGCCTGTTTGGATGCCTTCTCTTCCATCAACCTTGATCAATTGACCCCTTTATTTTCAAAGTCTAAATCTTCTACTTGTCTCTTGGATCCGATTCCGACCAAGCTGCTTAAGGAAGTTTTTCCTTTAGTTAGCACATCCTTATTAGATATTATGAATCTGTCTTTGTTGACAGGACATGTACCACAGTTCTTCAAGGTAGCTGTAATTAAACCTCTTCTTAAGAAACCTACTCTTGCTCCAGAGGTGTTGGCTAACTACAGACCTATCTCTAATCTTCCCTTCCTCCTTGAGAAATCCATCGCAAATCAATTATGTGACTTTCTACAAAACAATGCTTTGTTCGAGGATTTCCAGTCAGGATTTCGAGTGCATCACAATACAGAAACAGCACTGGTGAAAATTACAAATGATCTTCTACTTGCATCGGACCAAGGACTCATCTCTTTTCTTGTCTTGCTGGTACTCAGTGCCGCATTTGATACCATAGACCATTGTATCCTGTTGCAGAGACTAGAACATTTAATTGGTATCAAAGGAACTGCACTCAGCTGGTTTAAATCCTACTTATCGGACCGATCCCAGTTTGTGCTTGTAAACGGTGAATGCTCAAAGACCACCAATGTTGGCCACGGAGTCCAACAAGGTTCTCTACTTGGACCGATTTTATTTACCCTCTATATGCTTCCTTTGGGCGATCTTATCAGGAAACACCGCATAAACTTCTATTGTTATGCAGACGATACTCAACTGTATCTGTCGATCAAGCCAGAAGAGACGGACCAGTTAGTTAGACTTCAAGAATGTCTTGGAGACATCAAAACTTGAAGTCTCAAGTTGAAAACTCAGAAAAAACAGAAGTTATCCTGATAGGCCCAGAGCGCCTTCGAAGCCAGCTGTCACGTGATACAGTTTTTATGGATGGAATTGCTCTGGTACCCAGCAGCACCGTCAGGAATCTGGGAGTTCTCTTCGACCAGGATATGACCTTCAACTCGCATATAAAGAAGACTTCAAGGACTGCCTATTTTCATCTACGTAACATATCGAAAATCAGGAACTTTCTGTCTTAAAGTGATGCAGAGAAATTAGTTCATGCGTTTGTCACTTCCAGACTGGACTACTGTAATACTTTGTTATCAGGCTGCTCTTGTAAATCTCTTAAGTCTCTCCAGTTGATTCAGAATGCTGCAGCACTTGTATTAACAAGAACTAAGAAAAGGGATCATATCACTCCTGTATTAACTTCTCTGCACTGGCTCCTTGTTAAATCAAGAATAGATTTTAAGGTACTTCTCCTCACCTACAAGGCACTTGCTGGTGAGGCACCGTTGTATCTTCAAGAGCTTGTAACACCTTATTGCCCTACAAGGCAACTGCGCTCTATAGATGCTGGGTTACTTGTTGTTCCTATGGTTTTAAAAAGTAGGCTGGGGGCCAGAGCCTTCAGTTATCAAGCTCCTCTTTTGTGGAACCAGGTTCCACTTTCAGTCCGGGGGGCAGATTCGGTCAGCTCTTTTAAAGTAAAACTTAAAAAGTTCCTCTTTGATTCTGCCTATAGTTAGGGCTGGCTCAGGTTAGCCCGGACCAGCCCTTAGTTAAGCTGATATAGGCTTAATGCCGGGGGAATTCTTAGGACACACCGAGCTCCTCTCTCACGCTCTCGTTCTACCATAATTCAAGTTTTATTAATGCACATGACTAATTCAGCTTCTTTTTTTTTTTTTTGTGCTTTCTCCCCCATCAGGTCTCCGTAGATCGTGGTTCCTTCGCGACCCTGGTCCTGACACCTACCGTGGCCATGCTGACGCGTGCTGCTGCCATCATCATCATCATCATCATTATTTTAGATATTAATCATATTACTACACCCTGGATTTTTTGAGAAATATGTCGGCAGATTTGTATTGGAGCCTATGGGGCTTTTGGCAGAGGTTGTGTCACTCTAACACTCCTTAAGGCAAACCTAAAGAACTCTGGGATTCCATGAACATGAAGTCTCAAGAGTGTATACTTTGGCTGCAAGGACAGAAGTTCCATATTTTTTTAACCAGATTCTGACGCTGCCTCACACTCTAAGATCTCCAGGTCTCACTCTAGCAGACGCAATACACACTCATGTAAAAGTCAGAAACGGAGCGAAGAACTAGTGAAACATAATCAGTGATTATGAAAAAAGTACAATAGATATCAACAAGCAGTTTTTCCATAAAATAGTTGAGACTTGTGTCAACATTTGAAAGTGGAAATGATGTATGTAGCTGAAAGATTGGCGAAGCTGAAGAATCTAAAAATTGAAGAAGTTTAAGAGGATTTGAAAAACAATCTCTATTGGAAAACCATGTTAAAATATTAATGATTATAGATTTATATAAATTCAAGCTTAAGAGCTAGAAAGCTGAAAAGCAATAGCCCCCCTCTCCTGAAGGAGCTGAATAATTTAATATTTAAATGGTTTTAATAGCGGAAAGTATGAAGGAGTTGAAAGGTGCGGCGGAAGAAATAGAAGTTGAATAAAGATTCGAAGAACAATACTTGGAATGCTTAATGCATTCCAACAACTAAAGAGCGAGAGACGGTGCCCTTTTCTTTACAGTAGCTGAACCATCTTAACAGGGAAAATAAGTTATTCTAAAAGCAGCAAGCAAATATCTCGCGGAGACGAACTTTTGCGAGACAAACTTTTGCTCGCGGATGTTTGATTTTGGTTAAATTCTTAAGGTCATTTAATCATTATGTTTTGATCAGAGTTATGATTAAAGGTTTGGGTGGGCCGCAAAAGATATTCAGATTTCAAAGTGGGCCGCGGCATTCTTGAGTTTGGGAACCGCTGCTGTAGCGCTCATCAAACTGTTACACTTTCTTTAGATGTTTCACCATTAAAACACATCCAAAGAAATACGGTTTAGAATGTGTAGACTTTTCACATGCCCAATATTTACCTTTGCTTGATGTTTAATGTGCTTTCTATGTATTGGCTTTTTTGTTTTTCTAAAGGGTAGAGTGACATTTACAGAGATGGAAACAAATGTACAAGTACAGATAATAATACAGAGGACAGCTGGTATGTAATAAAAAAAAAGTACAAATGTCATTGAGTTTCACTCAAATATGGTTTATAAGTTTCCAAAAATAACTTTATTAAAGTGTAAAGAATCATTTAATAATTCTTCATAAGACAAATACAGGCCAAGCTAAGAACAAATGTATGTTTAAAATGGGTTTATCCTCCCTGTTTAGTTAGAAGGCTGGATAACTTCATCATACAAGGGTCATACAATATCAGCCGGGTTTTATATCCATTACTATCTCTTAGTATCTCTATGAGCTAACCCACTTGCCATAGGGAACATGGCAAGCTACTACCCCCGCTGCTTTTGCCCCCTCCACATGAGACATCTGGTCGTCAAAGAAGATGTGCGGCCTGATCTTCTCGAGCATGGGGCCCTTCGGTGCCCCTGACCTCAAGAGAGCCTCGTCCATCTCCAGATCCCAGGAGCGCAGAGTTTTTAGGGCTCTGGTACCAGAGCTGCCTGCGCCGCGAGACGTCACCAAGTAGGTCCGGATGGGACACTTCTTGCGCTGGCCTTTGTCATAAAACTTCTTCTGCAGCTTTCCTAAAGACTCCAGGAAACCTTTAAATGGCCCCTGCAGGAAGAAGAAGGCGTAGAGTAAGTCCACATTTTGGTAGTTTCTACAGTTATAGGTGTCTCATTATGCAGTCAAATCCTTTGTGATTTTCAGCGGAAGAAGCTGGTCAGAAATCCCACTGCTGCTCCGGTGGAGGCCACAGCTGCACCCGATGCAACAATAAACAGGTTAAATACTAAAGAATTAACAAGTGAAATGTCTGAATGCGGAACTGCACAGTCACTGAGCAACACGCCTGCGTAAGAATGTGTAAGACAGCACATAATGACCCTGTGATTATAATTCTGAAGAGAAGAACTAAACTGGTTATTTTGTTCCAGGATTAGTGATGATGTAACTCCTTCTCAGAAATGACAAACACTTGAATCTATTTTTAAAATGTACTCGCCTATTTGTTTAGTTTTGAAGTTTTGTTTTTGGAGAAATGGTACCTGAATAACGCAGCACAGCTGGGGGGCTTTGAACCAGAGACAGGAGGACTCAAAACGCAGAATTCAAGCAAAAAAATAAAGCCTTTAATTAAATAATCAGAAATGCCTATAGGCAAAACGAGGACCAGGACACGGGCAAACAAACACTCACCGACATATGAAGCTCATTTAATGAACCAAGGGACACACGTGGTTTAAATACACTGGGGAGGCACAGGTCATTGGACACAGGAGGAAACAATTGGGGACACGGCAGATAATCAGAGGGTCGCGAGGGGGGGAGGGGGGGTGAAGTCAATCCCAGCTAACGTCGGGTGAGAGGAAAGCATATATTTTGCACAGAAATCATATTTTACAAATATTACTGGGTACATTCCATAATTCAAAAACATAAAAATTGACATTTATTATTACTACTCTTTTCTTTTCTTTTTTGGCTCGAGGAGGGGCGCTCCGGGGGAGGGGGCCCTTTCCCTTTTTTGGCCCCGCGGCCGGTGGTTTTCCATTTTCCTTTTAGGAAAAAGCCCCCCCCCCCCCCCCCCCCCCCCACGCCACGCCCCCCCCTCAGCATATATAACCTTATCGAGCTCATCCAGGTATATACTGTATATACTGTATATGCACCTTTATCGTAAAGGAAAAGAAGGCGGCTCGTCTGTGGGCTGGTACACTGAAACAAACCATGGGGATTTGTGAGTATCGCCGTTACTTTCACCGTATTGACGTATTTTAATGTGTGGATTTGGTCCGTGCACTTTTTCATAGTCAGTTTTGCCACTTTTGATCTAAAACGAGAAAACTGTGTTTTCGACGTCGGCAGCAGTTTCCTCGCTTTTCGCTTAGAAACCAGCAGGCGGCAGAATACGTGTATTCACACCATAGATTTAATTATGTTTAACTGTGTTTAAGTTATTTCAGATGACGAGTTTGTCTCGTGTTTTGGTTATAAACCATAAACGAGAAAACTGCACTCTCATTTTACCGCTTTTGGTTTCAAACGAGAAAGGTGTTTTTGTTTATTGATTTAAATGTTTTGGAATGCTTTTTGTTTTTTCCTCTTTCCAGTGTCTTATCTTGCTGCCGGAGCAGCAGTCGGAACAGGAGCCGGTAAGACCTCTCACAGCACAGCCTTCATGGAATAACAATGTTTACTTTTCTCGGATTTCCAGCTCTATTACATGTTAAACTCCTATCATGCATTATTCCTTCATAAATGGCCCTCTGCTGTGTTGTCCGTGTGCAGTAGGCGGAGTCGGCTGGTCTGGGAACAGCCGCCACAGCAGCGGCAGCCGGCACTGGTGCAGCAATCGGAGGAGCTCTGACCGGACTGGCTGCAATCATCTTTTAGACAAGTTTTAAACAAGCTTTGCTAATTAGGAAATCATTAAAAAAAAAAAGATCACACCAGTTAATTTCTTCTACATCACCTTTGTCATCTCAGAAAACTCAAATGTTCAATAAATCAGTTTAACCTGATGAAGATATGGCTTCTGTGTGTCTGCTGTAAGTACTTCATTTGTCAGAAATACTTACTTTAAGCATCATCAACTCATATTGCTCGATTTTTTTCTAGTAAATTGTTATAAGATTAAGGAATTGAAACTCAAGAATGATATTTAAACAAATTGAACTAGTTGGTGTTGCAAATTACAGGAGATTTGAACCCATTGATGCTTAGAGGTTTTGGCCCCTGCACTCACCACCAGTCCTGCTCACACTTGAGGAACTTGGTTTGTCGTACGAACCTTGAGAATGTGAGTGAAACCCTAAAGCTCTTTAATCACAAACTCCTTTCCACAAGTGGACTTGAACCCACAACCTGCACGTGCAGGTTAGAGATAGAAGCTTTACTAACTGTGCTAGCTCACCATACATCTATTTGGCTTTCATTGGTCCTATTGCACCTTGAGCTTGTCAGTTGAACCTCAAAAGTTATTACATTCCCATGACTGGGCTTGAACCCACAACCCACAACCCACAACAGCAGGTCTGAGCCAGCCTGTCATTCCCTGGTGCTATTTGGCCACATCACACTTGATTTCTCGGTTTCTTGTAATTAAACTTGAGATTGAGATGCTCAAACCTGTTTCAAAGCCTAATGAGCAAATATTTGGCTGCACTGTGCTCCATCTGAGAGAGGGGGTTTGAACCAAGGATCCTCCACACTTCAGCCTTACAGCGGCTCCCCTGCGCTATTCCACCACAACCTGTACCCTCTTTAATTCTGGTGTTTGTGGAGTGAGCAAGTTGAACCTCGCTACTCTTTCAGATTCTCAAGTTGGAAGCCACTACCACTCCGCACTATTAGAATAGTATTGCGGTTCAAATAAGGTCAATCAAATCCCGACTGTGGAGCAAACCCGTCTGAGGATTCCCCGAGGTTCCTCCTCAGCAGAGAGGAGACCCAATCCCAGAAGAAATAAACATGTTTGAGCTTCAGGGATCAGCTCACCCAGATGAGTAGCTCAGGGATGCAAACAGTCAAAAGAGAGGCAGCTGAAGCCCTCGCCCCGCGGCAAATATCAATGTACTTGATACGGACGATGCGCAGAGCGAAATGAGTGACAGTCACGCTGAATGCGTGACACTTGAGAGCCATGTGAAGGATTATTCAACAAGGTAAACCGTACTTAAATTCATTTTTAGCAGAGTTTCACTCTTTTTCAATCTCCGATTACACGCGTTTCAAGTTTAATTAAAGAGGCAGATTTAAAAGTGACCCCGGCGCCCTCTAGCGTTCGTTTCTAGCAGTGCGTCGTTTCTCAAGAGTGCAGGTCACGTGTCAGACCAGCACGTTGAGCTACGGGAAGTCCATCTGCCCCGATGCAGCATGAGGAATAGAACAATTCAGAAATCATATTGGTTCTTCACGGATTTCCTCATGTAAATATTATGTTAGAGCAAAACATCTAAAACATGTAAGAGGGTTTGTAAAATATTCCTTGATGGATGGAATATTCCATGATAAGAAGTACCTTGCACTTTGTCTGCTGTTAACATGCTGACATGCTCAACATGTCAATGTGACCGGGGCAGCTGTGCGCCTGCAATGAGACAACCCCACTTTGGGACTCACCCAGAGAATACCACATATGAATATAGGTTCTTAGCTTTTAAGAAAAAAGCAGAGAGGTGAATTTCTACTTTTAAACAGTGTCTTGTTTTATTTATAGGTAAGCTTCATAGGGCTTTTATTACAAAATGTATCTATGCTAAAAATGATGTCAATACACTGAGGTGTTTTACCAGCACAAGGTGACTATCAGGGAGGCCTAAAAGATAAATTAAAAATGAGGAAGCCCTCCACCTAGTGAGCCACCACCTATAAAAACAATTAAAAAAAACACTGACTTGACTGGGGAGAAAAACAAATAACTATCAATTCATAATAAAAATACTAAATAAAAACAAGGTAACCATAAACACAAAATATATTTGCAGTGGCTAGAGCTCAGCTACAGCACCAGAAGCTGACATCACTTCTCCGTTCCTGTTACGAGAGGCTCATGTCATACACAATATTGTCATTCATAATATGTAAAATAACTCCACTGAACATCAAATTACCGCTAAGGAGCATATTTAAACAAAACAAAAATAAAAACCACTCGACTCCAAGAACAGACATACCTGGGAATTGCACATTATACTGCACAGATGGGGTGGGAGCTCTGTAACTAGTCCCCTTTAACGCTCAGTCCTGCACCTTCACTAGATGTAGTCGTTCCTGAGACAGCTGGGAAAGCCTGGGGCAAAACCTACACTTAAGGAGAACCAGGAAGTGATCTGCCCTCACCTGTTGGGGATCACTAATTAGGGTGGTGTGGCCAAACAGGTGGAGGGAGGGGGAGCTCAACCCATCATATCAATAACGTAACATGCTGATGTTTAGCATATATAATATTACCATTTTAGTTACGTGTGTACAGCTGTATTTGGCCCTTAAATATACCTTAAATGATCCCTTTTGGAATATAATTAACTGTTGATATACATTAATATGAAATTATACATGTTTTAACTTCAAGGTAGAGGCAGACCCTTGCATCTCTGTCATCTAAAGCTGTTTTGGTAAATGAACTAATATCAGATCACCATGTTGATGTATTTTGTCTTACTGAAACGTGGTTGTTGAATGGGGAATATTTCTGTTTAAATGAAGCGACTCCTCCGAGTCATGTTAATACTCATATTCCCCGAGGCACAGGCCGTGGGGGGGGAGTGGCAGCTATTTATGACTCCTGCCTTTTAATAAACTTTAAACCTAAGGTGAATTATAACACATTTGAAAGCCTGGTTTTCAGTCTTTCGCAACCAACCTGGAAAAGTCACAGCTCTGTCGAGTCGTGTATTCCTTTGGACCTCACTAGTAACAACTTCATGAACTTCTTCAATGATAAGATTCTGACTATCAAAGAGAAAATTGATGGTCTCCTGCCTTCAACCAGTGCCGACCTGTCCTCCGATGTAGGAACCTTGGATGCAGCAGTGGGCCCTGATGCCTGTTTGGATGCCTTCTCTTCCATCAACCTTGATCAATTGACCCCTTTATTTTCAAAGTCTAAATCTTCTACTTGTCTCTTGGATCCGATTCCGACCAAGCTGCTTAAGGAAGTTTTTCCTTTAGTTAGCACATCCTTATTAGATATTATGAATCTGTCTTTGTTGACAGGACATGTACCACAGTTCTTCAAGGTAGCTGTAATTAAACCTCTTCTTAAGAAACCTACTCTTGCTCCAGAGGTGTTGGCTAACTACAGACCTATCTCTAATCTTCCCTTCCTCCTTGAGAAATCCGTCGCAAATCAATTATGTGACTTTCTACAAAACAATGCTTTGTTCGAGGATTTCCAGTCAGGATTTCGAGTGCATCACAATACAGAAACAGCACTGGTGAAAATTACAAATGATCTTCTACTTGCATCGGACCAAGGACTCATCTCTTTTCTTGTCTTGCTGGACCTCAGTGCCGCATTTGATACCATAGACCATTGTATCCTGCGCCTTCGAAGCCAGCTGTCACGTGATACAGTTTTTATGGATGGAATTGCTCTGGTACCCAGCAGCACCGTCAGGAATCTGGGAGTTCTCTTCGACCAGGATATGACCTTCAACTCGCATATAAAGAAGACTTCAAGGACTGCCTATTTACATCTACGTAACATATCGAAAATCAGGAACTTTCTGTCTTAAAGTGATGCAGAGAAATTAGTTCATGCGTTTGTCACTTCCAGACTGGACTACTGTAATACTTTGTTATCAGGCTGCTCTTGTAAATCTCTTAAGTCTCTCCAGTTGATTCAGAATGCTGCAGCACTTGTATTAACAAGAACTAAGAAAAGGGATCATATCACTCCTGTATTAACTTCTCTGCACTGGCTCCTTGTTAAATCAAGAATAGATTTTAAGGTACTTCTCCTCACCTACAAGGCACTTGCTGGTGAGGCACCGTTGTATCTTCAAGAGCTTGTAACACCTTATTGCCCTACAAGGCAACTGCGCTCTATAGATGCTGGGTTACTTGTTGTTCCTATGGTTTTAAAAAGTAGGCTGGGGGCCAGAGCCTTCAGTTATCAAGCTCCTCTTTTGTGGAACCAGGTTCCACTTTCAGTCCGGGGGGCAGATTCGGTCAGCTCTTTTAAAGTAAAACTTAAAAAGTTCCTCTTTGATTCTGCCTATAGTTAGGGCTGGCTCAGGTTAGCCCGGACCAGCCCTTAGTTAAGCTGATATAGGCTTAATGCCGGGGGAATTCTTAGGACACACCGAGCTCCTCTCTCACGCTCTCGTTCTACCATAATTCAAGTTTTATTAATGCACATGACTAATTCAGCTTCTTTCCGGGAGTTTTTTTTTTTTTGTGCTTTCTCCCCTATCAGGTCTCCGTAGATCGTGGTTCCTTCGGGACCCTGGTCCTGACACCTACCGTGGCCATGCTGACGCCTGCTGCTGCCATCATCATCATCATCATCATTATTTTAGATATTAATCATATTACTACACCCTGGATTTTTTGAGAAATATGTCGGCAGATTTGTATTGGAGCCTATGGGGCTTTTGGCAGAGGTTGTGTCACTCTAACACTCCTTAAGGCAAACCTAAAGAACTCTGGGATTCCATGAACATGAAGTCTCAAGAGTGTATACTTTGGCTGCAAGGACAGAAGTTCCATATTTTTTTAACCAGATTCTGACGCTGCCTCACACTCTAAGATCTCCAGGTCTCACTCTAGCAGACGCAATACACACTCATGTAAAAGTCAGAAACGGAGCGAAGAACTAGTGAAACATAATCAGTGATTATGAAAAAAGTACAATAGATATCAACAAGCAGTTTTTCCATAAAATAGTTGAGACTTGTGTCAACATTTGAAAGTGGAAATGATGTATGTAGCTGAAAGATTGGCGAAGTTGAAGAATCTAAAAATTGAAGAAGTTTAAGAGGATTTGAAAAACAATCTCTATTGGAAAACCATGTTAAAATATTAATGATTATAGACTTATATAAATTCAAGCTTAAGAGCTAGAAAGCTGAAAAGCAATAGCCCCCCCTCTCCTGAAGGAGCTGAATAATTTAATATTTAAATGGTTTAAGGTTAATAGCGGAAAGTATGAAGGAGTTGAAAGGTGCGGCGGAAGAAATAGAAGTTGAATAAAGCGTGATACAGTTTTTATGGATGGAATTGCTCTGGTACCCAGCAGCACCGTCAGGAATCTGGGAGTTCTCTTCGACCAGGATATGACCTTCAACTCGCATATAAAGAAGACTTCAAGGACTGCCTATTTACATCTACGTAACATATCGAAAATCAGGAACTTTCTGTCTTAAAGTGATGCAGAGAAATTAGTTCATGCGTTTGTCACTTCCAGACTGGACTACTGTAATACTTTGTTATCAGGCTGCTCTTGTAAATCTCTTAAGTCTCTCCAGTTGATTCAGAATGCTGCAGCACTTGTATTAACAAGAACTAAGAAAAGGGATCATATCACTCCTGTATTAACTTCTCTGCACTGGCTCCTTGTTAAATCAAGAATAGATTTTAAGGTACTTCTCCTCACCTACAAGGCACTTGCTGGTGAGGCACCGTTGTATCTTCAAGAGCTTGTAACACCTTATTGCCCTACAAGGCAACTGCGCTCTATAGATGCTGGGTTACTTGTTGTTCCTATGGTTTTAAAAAGTAGGCTGGGGGCCAGAGCCTTCAGTTATCAAGCTCCTCTTTTGTGGAACCAGGTTCCACTTTCAGTCCGGGGGGCAGATTCGGTCAGCTCTTTTAAAGTAAAACTTAAAAAGTTCCTCTTTGATTCTGCCTATAGTTAGGGCTGGCTCAGGTTAGCCCGGACCAGCCCTTAGTTAAGCTGATATAGGCTTAATGCCGGGGGAATTCTTAGGACACACCGAGCTCCTCTCTCACGCTCTCGTTCTACCATAATTCAAGTTTTATTAATGCACATGACTAATTCAGCTTCTTTTTTTTTTTTGTGCTTTCTCCCCCATCAGGTCTCCGTAGATCGTGGTTCCTTCGCGACCTTGGTCCTGACACCTACCGTGGCCATGCTGACGCCTGCTGCTGCCATCATCATCATCATCATCATCATCATTATTTTAGATATTAATCATATTACTACACCCTGGATTTTTTGAGAAATATGTCGGCAGATTTGTATTGGAGCCTATGGGGCTTTTGGCAGAGGTTGTGTCACTCTAACACTCCTTAAGGCAAACCTAAAGAACTCTGGGATTCCATGAACATGAAGTCTCAAGAGTGTATACTTTGGCTGCAAGGACAGAAGTTCCATATTTTTTTAACCAGATTCTGACGCTGCCTCACACTCTAAGATCTCCAGGTCTCACTCTAGCAGACGCAATACACACTCATGTAAAAGTCAGAAACGGAGCGAAGAACTAGTGAAACATAATCAGTGATTATGAAAAAAGTACAATAGATATCAACAAGCAGTTTTTCCATAAAATAGTTGAGACTTGTGTCAACATTTGAAAGTGGAAATGATGTATGTAGCTGAAAGATTGGCGAAGCTGAAGAATCTAAAAATTGAAGAAGTTTAAGAGGATTTGAAAAACAATCTCTATTGGAAAACCATGTTAAAATATTAATGATTATAGATTTATATAAATTCAAGCTTAAGAGCTAGAAAGCTGAAAAGCAATAGCCCCCCTCTCCTGAAGGAGCTGAATAATTTAATATTTAAATGGTTTTAATAGCGGAAAGTATGAAGGAGTTGAAAGGTGCGGCGGAAGAAATAGAAGTTGAATAAAGATTCGAAGAACAATACTTGGAATGCTTAATGCATTCCAACAACTAAAGAGCGAGAGACGGTGCCCTTTTCTTTACAGTAGCTGAACCATCTTAACAGGGAAAATAAGTTATTCTAAAAGCAGCAAGCAAATATCTCGCGGAGACGAACTTTTGCGAGACAAACTTTTGCTCGCGGATGTTTGATTTTGGTTAAATTCTTAAGGTCATTTAATCATTATGTTTTGATCAGAGTTATGATTAAAGGTTTGGGTGGGCCGCAAAAGATATTCAGATTTCAAAGTGGGCCGCGGCATTCTTGAGTTTGGGAACCGCTGCTGTAGCGCTCATCAAACTGTTACACTTTCTTTAGATGTTTCACCATTAAAACACATCCAAAGAAATACGGTTTAGAATGTGTAGACTTTTCACATGCCCAATATTTACCTTTGCTTGATGTTTAATGTGCTTTCTATGTATTGGCTTTTTTGTTTTTCTAAAGGGTAGAGTGACATTTACAGAGATGGAAACAAATGTACAAGTACAGATAATAATACAGAGGACAGCTGGTATGTAATAAAAAAAAGTACAAATGTCATTGAGTTTCACTCAAATATGGTTTATAAGTTTCCAAAAATAACTTTATTAAAGTGTAAAGAATCATTTAATAATTCTTCATAAGACAAATACAGGCCAAGCTAAGAACAAATGTATGTTTAAAATGGGTTTATCCTCCCTGTTTAGTTAGAAGGCTGGATAACTTCATCATACAAGGGTCATACAATATCAGCCGGGTTTTATATCCATTACTATCTCTTAGTATCTCTATGAGCTAACCCACTTGCCATAGGGAACATGGCAAGCTACTACCCCCGCTGCTTTTGCCCCCTCCACATGAGACATCTGGTCGTCAAAGAAGATGTGCGGCCTGATCTTCTCGAGCATGGGGCCCTTCGGTGCCCCTGACCTCAAGAGAGCCTCGTCCATCTCCAGATCCCAGGAGCGCAGAGTTTTTAGGGCTCTGGTACCAGAGCTGCCTGCGCCGCGAGACGTCACCAAGTAGGTCCGGATGGGACACTTCTTGCGCTGGCCTTTGTCATAAAACTTCTTCTGCAGCTTTCCTAAAGACTCCAGGAAACCTTTAAATGGCCCCTGCAGGAAGAAGAAGGCGTAGAGTAAGTCCACATTTTGGTAGTTTCTACAGTTATAGGTGTCTCATTATGCAGTCAAATCCTTTGTAATTTTCAGCGGAAGAAGCTGGTCAGAAATCCCACTGCTGCTCCGGTGGAGGCCACAGCTGCACCCGATGCAACAATAAACAGGTTAAATACTAAAGAATTAACAAGTGAAATGTCTGAATGCGGAACTGCACAGTCACTGAGCAACACGCCTGCGTAAGAATGTGTAAGACAGCACATAATGACCCTGTGATTATAATTCTGAAGAGAAGAACTAAACTGGTTATTTTGTTCCAGGATTAGTGATGATGTAACTCCTTCTCAGAAATGACAAACACTTGAATCTATTTTTAAAATGTACTCGCCTATTTGTTTAGTTTTGAAGTTTTGTTTTTGGAGAAATGGTACCTGAATAACGCAGCACAGCTGGGGGGCTTTGAACCAGAGACAGGAGGACTCAAAACGCAGAATTCAAGCAAAAAAATAAAGCCTTTAATTAAATAATCAGAAATGCCTATAGGCAAAACGAGGACCAGGACACGGGCAAACAAACACTCACCGACATATGAAGCTCATTTAATGAACCAAGGGACACACGTGGTTTAAATACACTGGGGAGGTACAGGTCATTGGACACAGGAGGAAACAATTGGGGACACGGCAGATAATCAGAGGGTCGCGAGGGGGGGAGGGGGGGTGAAGTCAATCCCAGCTAACGTCGGGTGAGAGGAAAGCATATATTTTGCACAGAAATCATATTTTACAAATATTACTGGGTACATTCCATAATTCAAAAACATAAAAATTGACATTTATTATTACTACTCTTTTCTTTTCTTTTTTGGCTCGAGGGGGGGCGCTCCGGGGGAGGGGGCCCTTGCCCTCTACTGGCCAGCAGCCGCTGTGTTCCAGTTTCACTTCATGAGAAACGCCCCCCCCCCCCCCCCCCCCACGCCACACCCCCCCCACGCCACGCCCCTCAGCATATATAACCTTGTCGAGCTTGCACCTTTAAGTTGGTTTGCCATCTGCCAGTAAACGAGGCTCGTCTGTGGGCGGGTACACTGAAACAAACCATGGGGATTTGTGAGTATCGCCGTTCCTTTCACCGTATTGACGTATTTTAATGTGTGGATTTGGTCCGTGCACTTTTTCATAGTCAGTTTTGCCGCTTTTGATCTAAAACGAGAAAACTGTGTTTTCGACGTCGGCAGCAGTTTCCTCGCTTTTCGCTTAGAAACCAGCAGGCGGCAGAATACGTGTATTCACACCATAGATTTAATTATGTTTAACTGTGTTTAAGTTATTTCAGATGACGAGTTCGTCTCGTGTTTTGGTTATAAACCATAAACGAGAAAACTGCACTCTCATTTTACGGCTTTTGGTTTCAAACGAGAAAGGTGTTTTTGTTTATTGATTTAAATGTTTTGGAATGCTTTTTGTTTTTTCCTCTTTCCAGTGACTTATCTTGCTGCCGGAGCAGCAGTCGGAACAGGAGCCTGTAAGACCTCTCACAGCACAGCCTTCATGGAATAACAATGTTTACTTTTCTCTGATTTCCAGCTCTATTGTTTTGTTACATGTTAAACTCCTATCATGCATTATTCCTTCGTAAATGGCCCTCTGCTGTGTTGTCCGTGTGCAGTAGGCGGAGTTCTTGCGGCCCCTCAGGTTCTGGGAGCCGTAGGTTTCACCTCGGCTGGGATCGCCGCAGGCTCCTCGGCTGCAGGTATGATGTCCACCGCGGCCGTGGCCAACGGGGGGGCGGTGGCTGCCGGGAGCACCGAGCCTGTTCTGCAGGCTGCAGGTAAACGCCGATACTGGATTTCCTGAATGAATGTTTTTCCAATTGTGGTTGTAACGGTTTTGTCTTAGTGGTCATTTCACGTGGTCATTGTAGGGATTTATTTAGCTTTGTAATGTGACCACACCCCTGTGTATGTCATAATGAGGCTGGTGTTGTGCTCCACATGGTGATGTAATCCCTGAGTATTCCTCCTTCAGGTGCGGCTGGTCTGGGAACAGCTGCCACAGCGGTGGCAGCCGGCACTGGTGGAACAATCGTAGGAGCTCTGACCGGACTGGCTGCAATCATCATTTAGACAAGTTTTAAACAAGCTTTGCCAATTAGGAAATCATTAAAAAAAAAATGATCACACCAGTTAATTTCTTCTACATCACCTTTGTCATCTCAGAAAACTGAAATGTTCAATAAATCAGTTTAACCTGATGAAGATATGGCTTCTGTGTGTCTGCTGTAAGTACTTCATTTGTCAGAAATACTTACTTTAAGCATCATCAACTCATATTGCTCGATTTTTTTCTAGTAATTGTTATAAGATTAAGGAATTGAAACTCAAGAATGATATTTAAACAAATTGAACTAGTTGGTGTTGCAAATTACAGGAGATTTGAACCCATTGATGCTTAGAGGTTTTGGCCCCTGCACTCACCACTACACCACCAGTCCTGCTCACACTTGAGGAACTTGGTTTGTCGTACGAACCTTGAGAATGTGAGTGAAACCCTAAAGCTCTTTAATCACAAACTCCTTTCCACAAGTGGACTTGAACCCACAACCTGCACGTGCAGGTTAGAGATAGAAGCTTTACTAACTGTGCTAGCTCACCATACATCTATTTGGCTTTCATTGGTCCTATTGCACCTTGAGCTTGTCAGTTGAACCTCAAAAGTTATTACATTCCCATGACTGGGCTTGAACCCACAACCCACAACAGCAGGTCTGAGCCAGCCTGTCATTCCCTGGTGCTATTTGGCCACATCACATTTGATTTCTCGGTTTCTTGTAATTAAACTTGAGATTGAGATGCTCAAACCTGTTTCAAAGCCTAATGAGCAAATATTTGGCTGCACTGTGCTCCATCTGAGAGAGGGGGTTTGAACCAAGGATCCTCCACACTTCAGCCTTACAGCGGCTCCCCTGCGCTATTCCACCACAACCTGTACCCTCTTTAATTCTGGTGTTTGTGGAGTGAGCAAGTTGAACCTCGCTACTCTTTCAGATTCTCAAGTTGGAAGCCACTACCACTCCGTACTATTATAATAGTATTGCGGTTCAAATAAGGTCAATCAAATCCCGACTGTGGAGCAAACCCGTCTGAGGATTCCCCGAGGTTCCTCCTCAGCAGAGAGGAGACCCAATCCCAGAAGAAATAAACATGTTTGAGCTTCAGGGATCAGCTCCCCCAGATGAGTAGCTCAGGGATGCAAACAGTCAAAAGAGAGGCAACTGAAGCCCTCGCCCCGCGGCAAATATCAATGTACTTGATACGGACGATGCGCAGAGCGAAATAAGTGACAGTCACGCTGAATGCGTGACACTTGAGAGCCCTGTGAAGGATTATTCAACAAGGTAAACCGTACTTAAATTCATTTTTAGCAGAGTTTCACTCTTTTTCAATCTCCGATTACACGCGTTTTAAGTTTAATTAAAGAGGCAGATTTAAAAGTGACCCCGGCGCCCTCTAGCGTTCGTTTCTAGCAGTGCGTCGTTTCTCAAGAGTGCAGGTCACGTGTCAGACCAGCACGTTGAGCTACGGGAAGTCCATCTGCCCCGATGCAGCATGAGGAATAGAACAATTCAGAAATCATATTGGTTCTTCACGGATTTCCTCATGTAAATATTATGTTAGAGCAAAACATCTAAAACATGTAAGAGGGTTTGTAAAATATTCCTTGATGGATGGAATATTCCATGATAAGAAGTACCTTGCACTTTGTCTGCTGTTAAGATGCTGACATGCTCAACATGTCAATGTGCCCGGGGCAGCTGTGCGCGTGCAATGAGACAACCCCACTTTGGGACTCACCCAGAGAATACCACATATGAATATAGGTTCTTAGCTTTTAAGAAAAAAGCAGAGAGGTGAATTTCTACTTTTAAACAGTGTCCTGTTTTATTTATAGGTAAGCTTCATAGGGCTTTTATTACAAAATGTATCTATGCTAAAAATGATGTCAATACACTGAGGTGTTTTACCAGCACAAGGTGACTATCAGGGAGGCCTAAAAGACAAATTAAAAATGAGGAAGCCCTCCACCTAGTGAGCCACCACCTATAAAAACAATTAAAAAAAACACTGGCTTGACTGGGGAGAAAAACAAATAACTATCAATTCATAATAAAAATACTAAATAAAAACAAGGTAACCATGAACACAAAATATATTTGCAGTGGCTAGAGCTCAGCTACAGCACCAGAAGCTGACATCACTTCTCCGTTCCTGTTACGAGAGGCTCATGTCATACACAATATTGTCATACACAATATGTAAAATAACTCCACTGAACATCAAATTACCGCTAAAGAGCATATTTAAACAAAACAAAAATAAAAACCACTCGACTCCAAGAACAGACATACCTGGGAATTGCACATTATACTGCACAGATGGGGTGGGAGCTCTGTAACTAGTCCCCTTTAACGCTCAGTCCTGCACCTTCACTAGATGTAGTCGTTCCTGAGACAGCTGGGAAAGCCTGGGGCAAAACCTACACTTAAGGAGAACCAGGAAGTGATCTGCCCTCACCTGTTGGGGATCACTAATTAGGGTGGTGTGGCCAAACAGGTGGAGGGAGGGGGAGCTCAACCCATCATATCAATAACGTAACATGCTGATGTTTAGCATATATAATATTACCATTTTAGTTACGTGTGTACAGCTGTATTTGGCCCTTAAATATACCTTAAATGATCCCTTTTGGAATATAATTAACTGTTGATATACATTAATATGAAATTATACATGTTTTAACTTCAAGGTAGAGGCAGACCCTTGCATCTCTGTCATCTAAAGCTGTTTTGGTAAATGAACTAATATCAGATCACCATGTTGATGTATTTTGTCTTACTGAAACGTGGTTGTTGAATGGGGAATATTTCTGTTTAAATGAAGCGACTCCTCCGAGTCATGTTAATACTCATATTCCCCGAGGCACAGGCCGTGGGGGGGGAGTGGCAGCTATTTATGACTCCTGCCTTTTAATAAACTTTAAACCTAAGGTGAATTATAACACATTTGAAAGCCTGGTTTTCAGTCTTTCACAACCAACCTGGAAAAGTCACAGCTCTGTCGAGTCGTGTATTCCTTTGGACCTCACTAGTAACAACTTCATGAACTTCTTCGATGATAAGATTCTGACTATCAAAGAGAAAATTGATGGTCTCCTGCCTTTAACCAGTGCCGACCTGTCCTCCGATGTAGGAACCTTGGATGCAGCAGTGGGCCCTGATGCCTGTTTGGATGCCTTCTCTTCCATCAACCTTGATCAATTGACCCCTTTATTTTCAAAGTCTAAATCTTCTACTTGTCTCTTGGATCCGATTCCGACCAAGCTGCTTAAGGAAGTTTTTCCTTTAGTTAGCACATCCTTATTAGATATTATGAATCTGTCTTTGTTGACAGGACATGTACCACAGTTCTTCAAGGTAGCTGTAATTAAACCTCTTCTTAAGAAACCTACTCTTGCTCCAGAGGTGTTGGCTAACTACAGACCTATCTCTAATCTTCCCTTCCTCCTTGAGAAATCCGTCGCAAATCAATTATGTGACTTTCTACAAAACAATGCTTTGTTCGAGGATTTCCAGTCAGGATTTCGAGTGCATCACAATACAGAAACAGCACTGGTGAAAATTACAAATGATCTTCTACTTGCATCGGACCAAGGACTCATCTCTTTTCTTGTCTTGCTGGTACTCAGTGCCGCATTTGATACCATAGACCATTGTATCCTGTTGCAGAGACTAGAACATTTAATTGGTATCAAAGGAACTGCACTCAGCTGGTTTAAATCCTACTTATCGGACCGATCCCAGTTTGTGCTTGTAAACGGTGAATGCTCAAAGACCACCAATGTTGGTCACGGAGTCCCACAAGGTTCTGTACTTGGACCGATTTTATTTACCGTCTATATGCTTCTTTTGGGCGATCTTATCAGGAAACACCGCATTAACTTCTATTGTTATGCAGACGATACTCAACTGTATCTGTCGATCAAGCCAGAAGAGACGGACCAGTTAGTTAGACTTCAAGAATGTCTTGGAGACATCAAAACTTGAAGTCTCAAGTTGAAAACTCAGAAAAAACAGAAGTTATCCTGATAGGCCCAGAGCGCCTTCGAAGCCAGCTGTCACGTGATACAGTTTTTATGGATGGAATTGCTCTGGTACCCAGCAGCACCGTCAGGAATCTGGAAGTTCTCTTCGACCAGGATATGACCTTCAACTCGCATATAAAGAAGACTTCAAGGACTGCCTATTTTCATCTACGTAACATATCGAAAATCAGGAACTTTCTGTCTTAAAGTGATGCAGAGAAATTAGTTCATGCGTTTGTCACTTCCAGACTGGACTACTGTAATACTTTGTTATCAGGCTGCTTTTGTAAATCTCTTAAGTCTCTCCAGTTGATTCAGAATGCTGCAGCACTTGTATTAACAAGAACTAAGAAAAGGGATCATATCACTCCTGTATTAACTTCTCTGCACTGGCTCCCTGTTAAATCAAGAATAGATTTTAAGGTACTTCTCCTCACCTACAAGGCACTTGCTGGTGAGGCACCGTTGTATCTTCAAGAGCTTGTAACACCTTATTGCCCTACAAGGCAACTGCGCTCTATAGATGCTGGGTTACTTGTTGTTCCTATGGTTTTAAAAAGTAGGCTGGGGGCCAGAGCCTTCAGTTATCAAGCTCCTCTTTTGTGGAACCAGGTTCCACTTTCAGTCCGGGGGGCAGATTCGGTCAGCTCTTTTAAAGTAAAACTTAAAAAGTTCCTCTTTGATTCTGCCTATAGTTAGGGCTGGCTCAGGTTAGCCCGGACCAGCCCTCAGTTAAGCTGATATAGGCTTATATAGGCTTAATGCCGGGGGAATTCTTAGGACACACCGAGCTCCTCTCTCACGCTCTCGTTCTACCATAATTCAAGTTTTATTAATGCACATGACTAATTCAGCTTCTTTCCGGGAGTTTTTTTTTTTTTGTGCTTTCTCCCCTATCAGGTCTCCGTAGATCGTGGTTCCTTCGGGACCCTGGTCCTGACACCTACCGTGGCCATGCTGACGCCTGCTGCTGCCATCATCATCATCATCATTATTTTAGATATTAATCATATTACTACACCCTGGATTTTTTGAGAAATATGTCGGCAGATTTGTATTGGAGCCTATGGGGCTTTTGGCAGAGGTTGTGTCACTCTAACACTCCTTAAGGCAAACCTAAAGAACTCTGGGATTCCATGAACATGAAGTCTCAAGAGTGTATACTTTGGCTGCAAGGACAGAAGTTCCATATTTTTTTAACCAGATTCTGACGCTGCCTCACACTCTAAGATCTCCAGGTCTCACTCTAGCAGACGCAATACACACTCATGTAAAAGTCAGAAACGGAGCGAAGAACTAGTGAAACATAATCAGTGATTATGAAAAAAGTACAATAGATATCAACAAGCAGTTTTTCCATAAAATAGTTGAGACTTGTGTCAACATTTGAAAGTTGAAATGATGTATGTAGCTGAAAGATTGGCGAAGCTGAAGAATCTAAAAATTGAAGAAGTTTTGAAAAACAATCTCTATTGGAAAACCATGTTAAAATATTAATGATTATAGATTTATATAAATTCAAGCTTAAGAGCTAGAAAGCTGAAAAGCAATAGCCTCTCCTGAAGGAGCTGAATAATTTAATATTTAAATGGTTTTAATAGCGGAAAGTATGAAGTTGAAAGGTGCGGCGGAAGAAATAGAAGTTGAATAAAGATTCGAAGAACAATACTTGGAATGCTTAATGCATTCCAACAACTAAAGAGCGAGAGACGGTGCCCTTTTCTTTACAGTAGCTGAACCATCTTAACAGGGAAAATAAGTTATTCTAAAAGCAGCAAGCAAATATCTCGCGGAGACAAACTTTTGCGAGACAAACTTTTGCTCGTGGATGTTTGATTTTGGTTAAATTCTTAAGGTCATTTAATCATTATGTTTTGATCAGAGTTGTGATTAAAGGTTTGGGTGGGCCGCAAAAGATATTCAGAATTCAAAGTGGGCCGCGGCATTCTTGAGTTTGGGAACCGCTGCTGTAGCGCTCATCAAACTGTTACACTTTCTTTAGATGTTTCACCATTAAAACACATCCAAAGAAATACGGTTTAGAATGTGTAGACTTTTCACATGCCCAATATTTACCTTTGCTTGATGTTTAATGTGCTTTGTATGTATTGGCTTTTTTGTTTTTCTAAAGGGTAGAGTGACATTTACAGAGATGGAAACAAATGTACAAGTACAGAAAATAATAGAGAGGACAGCTGGTATGTAATAAAAAAAGTACAAATGTCATTGAGTTTCACTCAAATATGGTTTATAAGTTTCCAAAAATAACTTTATTAAAGTGTAAAGAATCATTTAATAATTCTTCATAAGACAAATACAGGCCAAGCTAAGAACAAATGTATGTTTAAAATGGGTTTATCCTCCCTGTTTAGTTAGAAGGCTGGATAACTTCATCATACAAGGGTCATATAATATCAGCCGGGTTTTATATCCATTACTATCTCTTAGTATCTCTATGAGCTAACCCACTTGCCATAGGGAACATGGCAAGCTACTACCCCCGCTGCTTTTGCCCCCTCCACATGAAACATCTGGTCGTCAAAGAAGATGTGCGGCCTGATCTTCTCGAGCATGGGGCCCTTCGGTGCCCCTGACCTCAAGAGAGCCTCGTCCATCTCCAGATCCCAGGAGCGCAGAGTTTTTAGGGCTCTGGTACCAGAGCTGCCTGCGCCACGAGACGTCACCAAGTAGGTCCGGATGGGACACTTCTTGCGCTGGCCTTTGTCATAAAACTTCTTCTGCAGCTTTCCTAAAGCCTCCAGGAAACCTTTAAATGGCCCCTGCAGAAAGAAGAAGGCGTAGAGTAAGACAACATTCTCCATTTTGGTAGTTTCTACAGTTATAGGTGACACATTATGCAGTCAAATATACAAAATGCATCGTATTGGCTCATTGGCTCCTGTTGGTATAATAACATAGTTATTACCACGTTGGTTTTCCTGAGATGCATACATGTGGTGACGTCTCTAACACAAGTGTGGGTGAGCTGCATGATAAAGTTTCCTGTCCTGAGGTTCTACCCAGGATAAAAAGAAGCACCCCGCGCACATTGACCAGATATCTTTCCAAAACGCACTCACTCAGCACCACGGACTGCAGACAGAGCATCAAATTCATCAACACTAATTAATCAACTATTTGTTGACACAGATTTGTTATTGACTGCTTGTTTCTTGCCCTGTTGGATTTTTGCATTCATTATTTTATTTGTCATGTCTGTCCAATGCTGAACGTATTACATCCTGTAGATTTTCAATAGTGTGATACTGATTCTTCGTTTGTCACTGTGCGTATTCTTTACCTGGTTCATGTGCGTGTTCTCGTGGGTCTTCTCGTGCTCATTGAACTTGTCCAGTCCCTCGCGCGCAAAAACTTGCTCAGACTCATCGGAAAAGAGGACGGCGTCGCCATCGAAGGCGACGCGTAGCTGAGTCTCAGACACTGCCGCCATCTTCTCCGGGGTGAACATGGTGGCCGCTGCTATTCCTAAATGTATTGTAGAGAAACACAGGTGTAAAAATGTATCTCACACAGCATGTAGCACAGACCAACTGTTTTTAACGTAGTGTTACAGCTTTTCTATAAACTACCTCCTCCCAGAGCTTCCTCAACTTCCGTTGACTGATCTGACAGGTAAAGGTCAGCGTGGTTGGCCTTCAAGACGTTGATGAGACTCTCCCCATCTTCCATAGAGCGGAGCTCAATGAACAACTCTGCAGGGAGGAAGAATTAGAAGATGAGGAAACAGCAGAGTGGACCCGTTTGAAGACATGGTTGAATGGTTATTGTTATGGTTGAAATGCATGCAAGTCGCTTTGGATAAAAGCGGCAGCTAAATGACATGTAATGTAATGTAAAGACCTGCAAGTCAACAGGTCACAAGGATGCTGAAAAAAAAATCTAACTATTTTTACACTGCAAGCTCTGTTGAACTGCTAGTTCAACAGAGCTTGACTGCTAGTCTGTTCTAAAACGTTCAGCAAAGTAATTAACAACATTGCTCATGTATTCTGAGTAAATTAATCTCTTTCCTACGAGACCCCTGACAGCTTCTCCAGCTGCACTAGTTGTGCATATTTTGCCAAATGTAGATTTTTTAAAAAGCAGACAATTGGACAGAAACATGCACAATGTGGATGCTTGTGGTGGGTTTTCTCCTCGTCAGAAGCCAGAAACAATGAATTTTCTTCTTCATGTTTTTTCGATTCTTTAGGTTAAAATCATGTTGACATGCATCATCTATGTCAGTGACTCACCGTGATCCTTGATGGTTTTGATGCTTTCGATGAGTCCTTGACGGACGTTTACCTGGTCATTTGTGATGATCACGACCTTAATGAGTTCCTTGCTCTCGGGGCAAAGGTCCCTCAGTTCTTTGTTCACAACCTCCAGGACCTGGCAACACAACAAAACAACAACGACGCATGAAGAAATAAGATCAGCGGCGAGGAGCGATTGGTGTGTGAGTGGGATGTTGTTTTGTGTTTATTAATCCTTCACCGCCTCCAGAGACACGACACAACACAACACAACACACTGACAGCGAGGAGCCCCGCTGCATCAGGCTGGATGGAGTTCACGCGTTTGTTTCTCTGACCTTCACGAAGGAGGAGGCCGGTCCGGGGCTGAAAGGCTGCGTCTCCATGTTGAAGAGGACTCGGGGGGACACGCAGATGGTGACGGCCCCCATCGGCTTGTGCGGCAGGATAAGAGTTAAAGAACATTTTATTTACATCCACATTTATCTGACCTCTAAAGCGAATTTGGCTGCAATCTCCTCAGCATCAATAGGCAGGAATGGGCTCCTTGATTTTAATCATTATAATATTGTAAGTAAATACGAGAATATTTGTATCATTAAGAATAAGGCTTTGCATTTATAGTTGTGATTCTACGAGGCATCAACAAACAAACAAAAGCACTTCATGCACTTTAAATGTAAGTGAACTCAATCGCGTGGATGCAGCCACAGCGGAATAGAATGGACACATTTATATTCTACAAAGATATATCTGCACCGGTGCTGAACTCTACATAGGAATGGAGCCTGGCAGTAACTGCTCCTGTAAGTGGACGATGCATTAGGCTGTACTCACTGGGTTGCTGCTACTGGTCGAGCCCTGACAGCTCTTTTCACTCATCTTCTTCATCTTCTTGGGCTCCACACAGAGTTCTAGTGTTTACCTTGATACCTTAGGTAGTCTCTCTCTCTCTCTCTCTCTCTCTCTCTCTCTCTCTCTTTGGTAGAAGTTCCCATCCAAGCCGCCTTTTATATTCACGATGAGGGTTGGCCAAATGCTCCAAAGGAGTGAATGTCGCAGGGTAAAAGAGAGGTGTGGCACGATTATTACATCCTGTTATCAATGGCATCCTCATCATATTCCTTATCCTTGTTCAGCCCTTTAGCGTGAACAGTATGTTTTCATTTGCCATACCGTCATGGGAGATGCCGAAACCGTAAATTAAGGCATTTCACTTCCCTGGCGACAGATGAATGTGTGATTTCCACAAGATTGCAGGTAACATGAATTATAGATTACAAAAAAGTTCAGATAAAATATGTGAGCAGGCATCTTGTAAGTAATTTCCACATAACATTTGCAAACTTACCAGCCTTCAAAATGTTTTTATGTTTTAGCCAGGATCTTTTTTGTCCAGTCATGTTTGTTCTGTATGAACATTAATTGTAGAACGATATGTATAATAATTAGACACAGCTTATAGAGATTTGTGCATATGGTTGTAAAACATTCTCGCATTGTGAATAAGGGTTTGAAATTAGGCCGGGCAAATGTCCCGAGGAACATTACATCCCTCTGCTCAATTTAAGGCAAAATACAATTCATTTTATTTTGTAAAGCCCAAAAATTGTAAATTACAAATGTGCCTCAGAGGGCTTTACAGTCTGTACACATGCAACATCCTCTTTCCCGAAACCCTCACATCGGCACAGGAAAAACTGCCCAAAAATAAACCCTTCCATGGCAAAAAAAAGGGAAGAAGCCTTAGGGAGAACGTCAGAGGAGGGATCCCACTCCCGGGATGGACAGACTGCAATGGATGTCATGTGTAAAGAATGTAAAATATGTACAATATATTCCGTTTCTATAGCAGAAATTATTCATATAATTGCGAGTAGCAAGCCAGGCGCATGGGAAGGACCACTGCAGGGACAACCACCATCAGATAGAACCAGCAGCAGATAGAACCACCATCCACAGAAGCCTGTGGGGAGGGAAAGCACAAAGACTTTAGGAAAGGGTAATGTTGGTTTATGATGACAGTAACAGTAATATGATTGATGGCTCATTCAGAGCAAAACAACGCTTTCTGGCAATACATCTTGTACCGTTGGAAAGTCTGTTTAACTATCTTTTAGATGGTACCACATTTGTAAGGAATGTGCATTTGGGTGATGAGCAGCTGAGTTGTGTATGAGGGTCACGTCAGTGCAAACAAGAGTCGCTCAACCAGTTTAGTTCTGACGGCTCATTCAAACAAAACTATTGTCTTTCAGCCACGGAAGTAAATATTGTTTTTGCATTGGAGGTAGTTGTGGCTTTCATCATGATCAAAGTAAATAGTACAGTACAATATGAAGTATGTATACTTAAAAGATCATAATAGTATTATTCTAGCATGCAGGACCTGCCTTTACTTTGAGATTAAGGCATATTCACTAATACTTATATTTAAAAAGGCATAAATGGTTCTCCCCCAAAAGTGTTTTACAGTGAGACCTGCTGTTCCCAGGGCAACAGGGCGCAGGAGGACCGCACCTACTGAACACAGAGGAGCTTTGCTGCTGATGCAAATTGTTCAGCCACAAGTTGGATTATGCATATTACAGTCAAAGCATGTACATATTTTCTACATTAAGGTGTGTTCAGATAGTTAAACCATGTTATGTGGGCATTTTATGACCACTAAAATGAAAATGAAAATGAAATGCGTGGGTTCTCTCCGGGTTCTCCGGCTTCCTCCCACAGTCCAAAGACATGCTCTGGGGATCAGGTTAATTGGGGACTTTTATTGCCCGTAGATGTGTGAATGTGAGTGTGAATGGTTGTTTGTCTCTGTGTAGCCCTGCGATTGGCTGGCGACCAGTCCAGGATGTACCCTGTCTATTGCCTGAAGTTGGCTGGGATGGACTCCAGCGACCCTGGTGCAGGATACGCGGTTTGACGATGGATGGATCTAATCATGGCAAAAAACTGACACCGGCCCCCTGCGAGGCCACACGCCCGACAAAGTATCGCACACAAGTTAACGTTATGCATTTTAGGTGCCTCGTCACTCTAATCAATCAGATTATATTTCTTTAAATGTGTCTACTGGCAGGAGGCTTCATGGATGATCATCATCCAATGAGAATAATGATCTCAACTCTTTCAGAGTATGTAGATGAAAACAAGCCAAAGAATCAAATTGATACCAACCGCCAAGTCAAATTCCTTGTGTGTATTACATATTTTCCTGATTCCTGAGAAGCTCCGATCTTCGTGGCTGGTTTTCGTGGCTACTCTTGGAAACATTTTTCAAGTTCTGCCAATTAGGAAAACATAGAAAAATGACATCAGTTCATTTCTCCGGCAGCACCTTTGTCGTCTCAGAAAACTGAAATGTTTGTTTCAATAAATCTGTTTGACCTGATGAACATACGGCTTCGGTCTTCTGTAATTATTTAATTCGAAGTGTTTCCACGTTTATTTCTTTTTTGTGCGTGAATAGGTAAGAAAGTTAAAAGACCAAATTGTCTTTATATCTATGTCGTCTCCCTCTGATGTCAGGAATATTTATTTTTACCATCATTAACTAATTTGTTTGTTCTTGATTTTTATTCTAATTGTTGACTGTAGGAATAATAAACTATTTCGTGTTCCAAATTACCATTTTTTTTATTTAGTCATTTAAACTTTAAATATTCAGAGACAACTTTTATCTATCAGTCACAAAAGTAAATATATTTTTTGCGTTGTAGTGGTGGCTTTTAGCAAGATCGTTATGAAGTATTTATACTTAAAAAATGATGTAATATAAAATATAAATATGTAAATAAAATATTAAAAAAATAGTGTAGTATTACATGTCATTTAGCAGAGGCTTTCATCCAAAGCGACTAACATTACACTTTAAACCCATGGCTTTTTCACATTTTTGCCCAGGGAGCAATTAGGGGTTAGGTGTCTTGCTCAGGGACACTTCGACATGGAACATGGGGCAGCCTGGACTCGAACCACCAACCTTGTGCTTCCCAGCACACTTTCTCTAACCCGCAGCCGCAGCCACAGCAGCCGCCACTGCACATAAAAAACACCTTTTATGATGTTCATAATAGTGTGCTGCTTTGTCAAGCCAATTATAAATGAATAATTCATGTTTAGCATGTAAAAATGTAAGACAAAAAGAGTAAACACTGTTATTCCATAAAGGCGGTGCTGTACGAGGTCTTACCGGCTCCTCCGCCGACAACTGCTCCTGCCCCGACAGCAGCAACACAAATCACTGAAAAGGAGAAAAAACAAAATCAACATTTACAGCTCACCTCGCTCAATCAGAGACTCTTGCTGTGGTTTTATAAGAAAAGCATATCATTGAAATAGTTCAGTACTGCGGAAGGAACGGCGATACTCACAAGCGTCCATGGTCTGTTTTAGTGTACGAGTCCACTGAAGAGCCTGGATGAGCTCGACAGGGTTTTATATGCTGAGAGGGAGCAGCGTCACATCGGATTTAATACCGGTTTTAATCCTTGAACTATAGTCAGGTACCATTTCTCCAAAAACAAACCTTACAAACTGGCGTCACGGAACACATTTCAACAAAATAGATCCACATGTTTAGCATCTCTGAGGTGATGCGTCATCACTGAACAAAGGCAAAAGACGTAAACACTCAAAAGTTGCTGAACCACTTTAGTTCTGACGGCTCATTCAGAGCAAAACCTTTGTCTTTCAGTGACGGAAGTAAATAACATTTTTGTATTGGAGGTGGGGGCTTTTATCAAGATCAAAGTGCAGTAGTAGTATTAATCTAATATGAAGGGCCTGCCTCTACTTTGAATTTAAAACGTATTCACCATTTAAAGCAATGTATATAATTTAATTATATTAAAAAGGAATAGGTTAAGGTATACGGTGGAAGGTGGTTTTTCCCCCCTAAAGCAAAGCTTCCTCCGTTCGTGGTCCCCTGATGTTGTGATTTGCTCATAACTACACAGACTAAGAACATTCCCATCAGCCCCAGCTGTTTTTCTTAATGTTTTGTTTAATGCTGAATAGCACATATCACACACTTAACTAAAATGGTTAATATATGTGTTATCATTATTGACATGTTGACCTTATGATTGGTCTCAAAGCACCACTGTGCTTAAGAACAGCTGACAACATGGTGTAAAGTGTAAATTAGTGATGGAATATTTTACAAACCCTCTTAATTCTTTAGATATTTTGCTCTAACATAATGTTTAAATGAGGAAATCACTAAAGAATCTATTTGATTTCTGAATCGTTCTATTCCTCATGCTGGATCGGAACACATAAAGACATCCTGTGGCTCAACATGAAATATAACATAATTTTGTTATGAATCCTGTTCTCATACTAAACGGTTTTGAGATTGTTGTTGGCCAGTTCTCGTCTCAACAAAGCCTTTATTGTTGTTTTCTTTATTTTTTTCGTCGTATGAGATACAAGCCACTGTTTGATACGATTGAGGATCTATAAGAGACAAGAAGGAACCTGCTTCTGGTTGAGATGATGAGAAATTCAAATATTTTGCAAACCAAAGACTGAAACAGCATCTTTGACAGGTTCCATCAATTTATTGAACACTACAGTTGTGTGACTTTAAAAAACAAACGTTGATTTAATTTGCTTTACAATAAAATGGGATTCATCATTCTAAGGCCGCACCTGCGAACAATTCCGCTGTTTAGAAACACGTCATGAATCACACGTAGACTTTTCTTAGGAACTTTCTTAAGAGCAAATGTAAGAAATGACATATTGGTGAATGAGGCCCAATGATCCAACTGAAGAAGTGATTTCCTCAAATGGGGGAATCACAAAGGTTAGTCAGATATCCCACCGCTGCTCCGGTGGCGGCCACAGCCGCAGTAGCAGCTCCAGACAGACCAGCCGCACCTGAAGCAACAACAAACAGGTTAAATAGCAAAGAATTCACTGTGAAATGAAAACAAGTAAAAGAAAACAATGTCTAGACTGCAGCAGCTAAAAGTTGCTCAATTGCGTTGTGATGTAATTGCGTGATGTTGTCAATACGTGAAATAGAGAATAAATTAAATACAAATGTCTTAGTTTACATTTGTTTGTTCATTATCACATATTTCTATTTGTGGAAGTAATATAAACGCAACACATTTTACTTTATCACATATTTCTAAACACAACGTATGGAATTATTGAACATGAACACATTACACATTATTGAACATTAACTAGTAAACCTACACATTCTGAACAATTACAGTTTTAGGCAGTGCAGTTGTAGTTAGTTAACATGCTACCAAACTGATCAACAAGTACAGCTACAATCTAATAATAAGATATATAAGCTATTTTATTGAACAAACCACTTAACTCAAATAATGTTGTGTGCACTTGGCATCTCTTTTCAGCTCTCTAGGCTGACGTGCAGCCGACTGCTGCCTATGCAGTTGCTAAAAGTGCCAAATCTATTTTTTCTAAATAGCTACATTTGTTGCTAGGTGCTGTTGGGAAAAAAATGTTGCCAGGGTAGTCTGAAAGGTTGCTGAATCTAGCAACAAAGTTACTAATTTGGCAACACTGCCAGCTGCACCTCCAGCGGGAGGACTCTGGTGTTACGTCATGTGGAGCTCCACAGAAGAATAACTTCAACAACGTTATTATAACATGAACCTGTTTACCTGCAGCCTGCATAACAGCCACGGTGCTGCCTGCGGCCACCGCCCCCCCGTTGGCCGCGGCCGCGGCGGACATCATGGTGGCAGCGTAGGAGCCTGCTGTGATCCCAGCCGAGGTGAAACCTACGGCTCCCAGAACCAGAGGGGCCCCGACCACAGCGACCACTGCACATGAGAAACACAGCAAAGGGATCTCTGATGTGCATAATAGTGTGCTGCTTGGGAGTTTAGCATGTAAAAAAAAAGAGAGAGAGAGAGAAGGAAAAAAAAAGAGTAAACGCTGTTATTCCATAAAGGCTGTGTGCTCTACGAGGTCTTACCGGCTCCTGTTCCGACAGCAAGAGCCGTACCTGAAGGAAGAAAAAAAGGAACATTTACAGCTCACCTGGTTCAATCAAAGACATTTACTGTGGTTTTATATGAAATGCATGTTATTAAAAGTATCAGCACATTAAAAAAAGCCAGTGCTGCGAAAGGAACGGTGAAACTCACAAGGGTCCATGGTTTTGTTTTGGTGAAGTCCAGTGAAGTCCAGTGAAGAGCCTGGAGGAGCTGGACAGGGTTTGATGTGCTGAGAGGGAGCAGCGTTTCTCCTGAAATGAAACCGGACACAGCACAGGACCTGGACCATTTCTCCAGAAACGAAACTTCTAAACTGACCAATAGTGGGCGTCCCAGAGTACATTTCACCAAAGTAGATTAAAGTGTTTGTCATTTCTGAGGTGGTACCAGTTCATTATTACTCCAAAAGGGATCATTCAAGGCACATCTAAAGATCACTTTAGATATAACGCTGCCTTTTAGACCATGAGCTTCTGCAGCCATGTTCATTTGATGTTTTTAAGATAGTTGGTGGTATTTTTAACGTCTTTTTAATCTTTTACGCTACGTTTTGCAGTTGAGCAGCAAATTGGTCCGTGTACCTTTTGATAGTCCCGTTTACCGTAAAGAACAAAAAACGAAAACACTCGTTTCTCGTTTTTCGTTTTAAATCCAAAAAGGTAAAACGGGGGTGAGCAGTTGTTCTCTCGTTTTTCATTTAGAACCACAAAACGAGACAGACTGACAACTTTTTACCACGTTAATCCCTTTTGGGGTTTTGCCCATAAAAATAAAATACGGAGCGGAGCCGCTAAACCGGACGTACGCAGATTTTCACAGTAAGAGTCAACGCAATGGAACGTGTGTATGCTAGAAATCCGTCTGCGATGCCAGCGGTTACCAGGGTAACATTAGGAGAAAAGTTAATTAATTATTATAAATAAATACACACACACAATCTACACAGAAATACAAATGCATACATTCTGCTACTAAAAACAGGTTTATTTTTTAACTGTGTATTGTGTGACTTTTGAATAATTTATTTATATTGAGGCTTGAGGTTATGTAAATCCGGACTGTACCAGGTCGCAAACTGCGAGCTGTCTGTCTGCTCAGCTGCATCACAAACCAATGGAAATCCCAGACGGCGAACTAACCTAAAGCACGCGGCGGATTAATACGTTCAGAACAGCCGGATCACAAACGTGACCTGGACCGCATCACGCAGTACGTCGGCTCAGCGAACCAAGTGGCGGATGAATATCATTAACCAGCGAGACGATGAACGCGAGTCGACTTTTGAAAACCGGCGCGACAGCTCGGAAAAGAGAGTCAGAACTAAACTAAACTCTTTAGTGTTTCTGTCTTTTGTCTTTGTTTTTATATTCTTGACTGAAATGCTTCAGGTGCAGTATGTACAACTGCGAAGTTCCGAACGTTCGGTGTCACCTGTTTTTGCTTGTTCGTCTCATTTTGTAATTTAGGTGAGTTGTTATTGGAATTATATAACATGTCTGGGCTAAATTTACATTGTGGACTGATGCAATTGTGGAGTCTACAAAGCAGAACAAAGCTCAACTCTCTTCCATTCTCTCTGGCCAGAAGTGAAAAGATTCATAATGTTCTCAGCTGACCTGAAAAGAATGGATCCAAAATTATAAAGTGATTACTGACCTCCTTTCATTAATTTACATTATTTCCTTTGAAGCGCTCCATCGAATATCACTGCTGATCCTTCCAAAGTATCATCTCCCTTTGCCTTTGGCCTGAAGCAAAGTTCAATAGCTGCCTGTTGCCTAAATTCTTGGCAAACTTTATCTTTCCTATTTCTTTCCTATTGCTTTTGTCAGTTTTAATGGATGATAATGAGCCCCTTCCTTCTTTCCATTCTGCTTTAACATGCTCTTCCCTCGTACTTGATCGATTCACCTTTACTTTTTTATTCTCATCGCCAAAATCATGTCCGCAGAAGCCAAAACTATCGCTCCTGGCTCTCCTGTTTCAGTGAAACAGCAACTCAAAAAATCATATTATAAATAAATAAAAGTTTTAAAAAAGACATTTGCTGTGGATCTATAAGAAAACCATATCATTTAAAGTGTCCGCATATTAAAATAAGTTACTGTGAAGCGAATGGCGATACTCAAACTCCCATGGTTTGTTTTTGTGTACCAGCCCACAAATGAGCCTGGATCAGCTCAATGGGGTTTTATATGTTGTGAGGGAGCAGTGTTAGGAACGAAAACGGATTTAAAACTGGTTTTAAGCCTTGAACTGTGCTGGTACCATTTCTCCGAAAACGAAACGTAAAAACTAAACAATAGTAGGCGTCACAGAGTACATTTCATTCAAATGGATTCAAATGTTTAACATTTCTTGCATACCAACATTTAATTATGTTTAAAAGGGAGCATTGAAGGCATATCTAAAGGCCAAATACAACGCTTCAAATCTCCAGCTTATTAGTGAAAGGCCACTGCCGCCATGTTCATATGATGTTCATCAGAAAAGCTAAAAAAGAAAATCCTGATATTGACCAACTTTGTGTAAAAAGAAATGAGACGTCTTGCTGAGGAGGCTTTGCTGCCCCCACGGGGCAGTGCAGGGTACTACACCAAGGTGTTTCCACAGAGGTGAGAGTCGTTCCTCATGGGAATGAGAGAACGCAGAAAAGAGGAGGAATGTGCTCGTTCTTGTATATTCCTTGGCTCATCTTGGTTTAAAAATGGAAGTTCTCATTCAGGTCTCCACTTTTACTGCAATAAACTGCTGGTGTACGTAAACATGAATGGTAAAAGACTTTTGACTCAGTAAAAATTAGAAGTCAAAACGATGTCTTGCGATGATTCATAAAGTTGGTTTTCATGCTACATCAAGTTCTCTTTATAGATTTTAAAGACCTGGTTTTATTTTGAAAGGTAGTGGATTCTGTAACTTCCTAATACGTGCGGGAGAAAATAACAAAGTAGAACTAAAAATGCTCTGATTTAACTCCAAGACCTGCAAAGTCAACACTGCAAAAGCCAAACCAAAAATCTCGAGGAAGGTATTAAACCACTGTTACGCACATACAGCACCCCGTGAGGGGAGGGGAACGTACATCGCGCTGCCAAGAACCCCAGAAGGCCAGAGACCGGGTGTGGGCGCAAGTAATCACACCAACACCGATGGGTTTGGTTTAAACAGGCTAGCACGTGCCAGTTTAATAATAAACAATAGAGGGAAATGGGAGAACGGCTGAGCTGATCCAAAACAAAGAAATTAGCAAAACCCCCACCCCTTACCTGTCCCCACGTCCTACACAAAACACTTATTTACTCTGGCGCTCGAGCAAGGCGCCCTAACCAAAAATACAGGGGGTGGATCGCTCAGATCTAACCTGGTGTGTATAACAGGAGATATCCCTACGGGTGATGTATGCCCAGGGCGTCTTTCCTAACACTCCCAAGTGCTTTCCGTTCTCCCTCCCTCCACAAGAAATACAAATGATTAACACTGTCCAATAATCCCAAAACACTCCACCATGTACAACCAATTTCACAAGAGCACCCCAAACACAACCTTACACCCCTGCCTCAGAGATCTGGACTGAACAACCAGAAACACATAAATACAGCTGATGGGACGATGCGATTGGAGGATGGGAAAACAGGAACCAGCTGTACGAGATCACGGGAGGGCGGATGAGTAAGTAAGACAATTTGCTCCACCTGAGGAGGGTTAACACACACGGCAGAGACATGTAGACACACACAGAACACAGACAAGACCGGGGGTTGTAACAACCACAAGGAAATCAAAAAAGGCTCTGAATTAACTCGAAGAGCTGAAGAGTCAAAAATGCAAAACGCAAAACCCAAATCTCTGTTACCGAGGAAATTAAAAAAATAATCAATCACTAACAAAAGGGCTCTGAAATAATTCGAAGGCCAAGGCATAAGGCCAACTAAGGAATCTATAACAAGGTTTGGGACAGACAAAACTATGACATGGACTTAATACTAACATGAGGCGGGTGTGAAAGACGAAAGCACATGACCCACTGGCACAGGACAAGGGGAGATGCAGACTGTAAGTACAGACTGCCGAGGAAGGGCAAGGAACCTGAAACGAGAGGAGAGTTAACTTCCAAAATAAAACTGGAAGTCACAAAACAAACGTGGAGACAGGACAAAACCCAACTTGACATACAAGTGTGACACTAATTTTGTCTTGTCATATTCGTTGTTCAATCCTCTGCTCTGTTGCATCTTACATTATTCTAAAAAAATGTCATCGTAACTCCTGTAGTTGAAGCAAAACATTGTTTAATCGCGATATTTTTCATGTTGATTGTAGTTAAAAAGACCAATTATTCATTAAATAAATAACCTGTAGCATCCTATCCGAGCGTTTTGTTTAAGTTAGAAAAAAAACACTCGTGCAGTCTCTTTGGTAAAAGAAAACATGGCCGGCCGCACATATTTTGCATTGTTTTCGTGTTTACTTCTAGTGTTCCTTTGTTCCTTATAGCAGAGCTAGACGTGACTCTCTGGCGCCCTCTTGTGTTCATCTCTAACAGAGCGTCGTTTCTCAAGAGTCTGCAGGTCACGTGTCAGTCCAGTGAAGACATGGGTTTTATTAGTAAGTAAATAATATACATGTCCTCAAAAGAACTGTACTGAACATACAGCAACAATAGTAACCAAGACAAATGTATTTAATCCAGATGAACTGTAAACATTTATCTTGATTTTGCATCGTGCGTTTCAGAGACGGCTGCTGCCGTTGGAGCAGAAGCAAGTGAGACATTCATGGATCATCTGCTTCACATGTTTACTTCTTCAACTGAACTCAGCACACCTTAATGTGGAAAGTCTATTGACATGCTTTTACTGCATCCGCAGCAATTCTCTGCTGTGATGTCCGTGTGCAGAAGGTGCGGTCATCATCATTGAATAACAGCAGGATCCATCGGTGCAAACATGATGCGACACTGCTGCGGTTTCTAACGGGGGAGGAATAGCAGCAGGAAGTCTGGTGGCCAGTCTGCAGGCAATCGGTGAACATTTTAACTATACGCGTTTATGGAAGATCTAAAAGCTTTTTGTTCTGTTATGCTACTACGAGGACAATAGTTTTAGTGTTTCATTTAATCTTCCAGCTTGAGAATGAGGTTCTGCAAGTCTTTATAACTGTGGGATGATCGTTGTTGGAATTATAATCACAGGGTCATTATGTGCTGTCTTTCTGAAGTATTACACACGCAGGTATGTTGCTCAGTGACTGTGCAGTTCCTCATTCAGACCTTTGACTTGTTAATTCTTTGGTATTTAACCTGTTTATTGTTGCATCAGGTGCAGCTGTGGCCTCCACCGGAGCAGCAGTGGGATTTCATACCAGCTTCTTCTGCTGAAAATAACAAAGCAACAAAATACAATTACTGTACTTTCACCAAATGAAAGAGGCAGTTGCAGATAAAATCAGCACATTATCAGTCAACTGTCCATCCATCCATCCATCTTCAACCGCTTATCCGGGGTCGGGTCGCGGGGGCAACAGCTCCAGCAGGGGACCCCAAACTTCCCTTTCCCGGGCCACATCTACCAGCTCTGACTGGGGGATCCCAAGGCGTTCCCAGGCCAGTGCAGAGATATAATCTCTCCACCTAGTCCTGGGTCTCCCCCGGGGCCTCTTCCCAGCTGGCCGTGCCTGAAACACCTCCCTAGGGAGGCGCCCAGGGGGCATCCTCACCAGATGCCCAAACCACCTCAACTGGCTCCTTTCGACGCAAAGGAGCAGCGGCTCTACTCCGAGCTCCTCGCGAATGGCTGACTTTCTCACCCTATCCCTAAGGGAGACGCCAGCCACTCTCCTGAGGAAACCCATTTCGGCCGCTTGTACCCGTGACCTAGTTCTTTCGGTCAATTTATTGAACAATACAATGTATTGTTTAATAAATTGATGTAACCTGTCAAAGATGCTTTTTCAGTCTTTGGTTTGCAAAATATATAAATTTCTCATCATCTCAACCAGAAGCAGGTTCCTTCTTTTCTCTTACAGATCTTCCATCGTATCAAACAGTGGTTGACTGGCCAACAATAATATCAAAACCGGTTATGAGAACAGGATTCATTACAAAATGATGTTATATTTCTTGTTGGATGTCTTTATGTGTCCCGATCCAGCATGAGGAATAGAACAATTCAGAAATCATACTGATTCTTTAGTGATTTCCTTATTTAAATATTATAAATATCTAAAGATGTAAGAGGATTTGTAAAATATTCCATCACCACTTTACACGTTTCGTGTGGTTATGAGATGCTTTGTTCCAATCAGTCTCCTGTAACGTCAACATGTCAATAACCATAACATGCTGATTTTTAGCACATATAATATGCAGAATGTTCATCAGTTTAGTCATGTTTGATAGCCTGTTAATACGTGTTAATCATCATTAAGCAAAACAGTGATATGTCTTAAACTATACTTATATGATTACATTACAGGTCACTTAGCAGACGCTTTATCCAAAGTGACTTACACTTTTAAACCTATGGCTTTTTCACATTTTGCCCGGGGAGCAATTAGGGGTTAGGTGTCTTGCTCGGGGACACTTCGACATGGAACACGGGGCAGCCTGGACTCGAACCACAGACCTTGTGCTTCCCAGCACACCTTCTCTAACCCCTGCGCCACAACGACCCCAATTCTGTGTGATTAGCTGTTGATATACAATAACATAAATACTGAATATCTTTTTACCTCAAAGTAGAGGCAGGCCCTGCATATTTGAATAATACTGTGATGTTTTACGTATATAAATACTTTATAGTGCACTTTACTTACCGGTCCTTTATCTTGATAAAATAAAAGTTTGCTCTGAACGAGCCGCCACAGCAAACTGGTTCAGCCACTCTGTTTCTGCCTTTTGTCTTTGTTCTTATGTTCCCAATTTAGTGATGACGAACCAACTCGGGGAATGATAAATATAATAATCGCTTGACTCTGTGTGCGAGAGGAATTCCCGTGACGCTATACTGTTTTTAAGTTTCGTTTTTGCAGAAATGATCCCTGATTTACGCAGCACTGTTCAGGGTTTACAACTTTAAGGTTTCATTTCATGAGAAACAACCCCCTCCCTCCCCCTTCCTCCCTCCCCCTTCCTCCCTCAGCCTACAAAAGCGGGTCGAGTTTCACCAGACCCAGACATTACATTACATTACATGTCATCTACCTGACGCTTTTACCCAGACAACACGATGGGACTACGTGAGTACGCCGCTCCTCTCGCAGCACCACAGTCAATGTCTCTGACTGAGCTGTAAATGTTGATTTCCTTTTTTCAGTCACGTGGGCAGCAGTCGGCGCAGGAGCCGGTAAGACCTCTCACAGCACAGCCTTCATGGAATAACAATGTTTTACTTTTCTCTGATTTCCAGCTCTATTGTTTTGTTACATGTCAAACTGCTATCATGCATTATTCCTTCGTAAATGGCCCTCTGCCGTGTTGTCCGTGTGCAGTAGGCGGAGTCGCTGCGGCGCCTCTAGTTCTGGGAGCCGTAGGTTTCACCTCGGCTGGGATCGCCGCAGGCTCCTGGGCTGCGGGTATGATGTCAGCAGCCGCCGTGGCCAACGGGGGGGCGGTGGCCGCAGGGAGCACCGTGGCTGTTCTGCAGGCTGCAGGTAAACGCCGATACTGGATTTCCTAAATGAATGTTTTTGTGGTTTTAACCCTTGTCTCTTAATGGCCATTTCGCGTGGGGTTTATTTGGGCTTTGTAATGTAATCACCTGTTTAATAACCCGTAACGTCATCCACGGAGGTCAAGGAATAGTGGTTAGGAAAACACGTATGAAGGTCATTCTTTTCACAAAGTCCTCCTGCTTTAGGTGCAGCTGGTCTGGGCGCAGCTGGCACAGCGGCGGCAGCCGGCACTGGTGCAGGAACTCTGGCCGGACTGGCTGCTATCATCATTTAAACACGTTTAAAACCACCTTTGCCATTTAGGAAAGCATTGGAAAATCATAATAGTTAATTTGCTCCAACATCACCTTTGTCATCTCAGAAAACTGAAATGTTTGGTTCAATAAATATTACAAACGCTGTTCAGTGTCGTCTCTCCCTGCTGTCAGGAATAATTATTTTGCCATCATAAACTTATTTGTTAGCTCTAATCTAATCTAATCTTGTAATTGTTGACTGTAAGAATAAGAGATTGGAACTTAATTAAACTCGACGAGTTGAAGAATAAACACTTTAGTGTTGCAAATGACCTTACATTCTTTCATTTAGTAATTTTTACTTAAAATCTTGAAACATAAAAACTTGATCAGTCCACAATGCTCATTATTTTTATCTAAATCTAAATATAGGGGCAATAACAACACACCGAAATTACAAAATGAGACAAACAGGCAACAATAGGTGACACCGAACCTTCGGAACTTTAAGGACAAGTAGCAGAAATACATATTGCACATGAAGCATTTTAGTAAATATATACATTATATATTATATTATATCATATTATATATAATCTCTTCAAGCAAAACTTGTAAATAAATGAGTAAAATAATCAATTACCAAGTTCTAATCTTGAAATACATTCATATCAACCACGTACGCTACACCGTAAACATGCTGGATCAATACTGAGGAAAAAGGCACCGGTTTTAAACAGCGAAGCAAGCAGTAAAATCATACATTTATAAATCCAAATTGCATATTTTTGTCCAAACCCATTACGGATGCAATCAATCTATGTGAAAAATAGCTTCAAGTCACTTGATTTTTCCTTAGTAACCTAATAGTTTAGAATTTATAGACTTTTTACACGGCCATTATTTAGCTCTGCTTGAATATGCTTTGTATTTACTGGCGTTTTTGTTTTTTAAAGGTATGTGTGAAATTTATAGATATGGGAACAAGTACAGATATAATAATACAGGGAGCTGCTGTGTGTAAAAAAATAAATTGTAATTACAAACAGCTTTGAGTTGCACTGATTCAAATAAGGCCATCTTCATTATGGTTTATAAGTTTAAACTAATAACTATATTAATGTTTAAAGTGTAGTGTAGTTTTATTTAAAGGACGATTACAGAGTAAGAACACATGTCTGTTTATCCCCTCAATTTAGTTAAAACGTTTTCATGTCAGTTAATCATAAAAAAGTAGTTCATTTTGGTCTGGATCCTGTAGTTTTAAATGCAGTTCTAACATCGTCATAAGCCGACGGCCTAAATGAAATCTCCTTTAGTCTCCCGTGCCTTTAGACGTCGGACGTCCAGGCTACTTGGGTGCTGAAGAAGTCTCTCTGCCATTCATCTCCCTCTTGGTGACCCCCTGAGCCACCCCATAGGGCACATGGCAAGCTACCGTCCCCATTTCTGCCGCCCCCTCCACATGAAACATCTGGTCGTCAAAGAAAATGTGCGGCCTGATCTTCTCGAGCATGGGGCCCTTCGGTGCCCCTGCCATGAAGAGGGCCTCGTCGATCTCCAGGCCCCACGAGCGCAGAGTTTTCAGGGCTCTGGTACCAGAGCTGGCTGCGCTGCGAGCCGTCACCAAGTAGGTCCGGATGGGGCACTCCATGCGCTGGCCTTTGCCGTAAAACTTCTTCTGCAGCTTTCCTAAAGCCTCCAGGAAACCTTTCAGCGGCCCCTGCAGGAAGAAGAAGGCGTAGAGTAAGTCCACATTTTGGTAGTTTCTACAGTTGCGTGTGACTCGTTACGCAGTCAAATCTACGCTGCGAATGTATCGGATGTGGTGTTTGTCGGCTGCTTTATAGCAACTTGGGACTTAAGTCAGACGGGGCAAGAAATTAGCTGTCAGGCCTGTGTAAAACAAAATGACTTTAATTAAGAAAAAGTAAAGGATGAATGAATTGGGAATCAAGTTTAAAAACCCAAATGTAGCTCCTGTACTCACTCATGCACAATGTTCTCCTCATGAATGTTTGAGTACTTCTCAGGTGCGCTCACTTTGAGTTTTACTTCTAGTTGAGGTGAATCTGACCATGTGTGCCTTGCCCGAATGCATTTCATGCGCTACACTTTCAATAGAAGTGTGAAACTCCCTCCGGAGACTCGGTCCGTCACCATGTGTATACTGTACATGGTCCAGGAGCTTGTTCTCGTGGGCCTTCTCGTGCTCAAAGAACTTGTCCAGTCCGTGGGCCTTGTAGATGCGCTCAGACTCATCGGAAAAGAGGACGGCGTCGCCATCGAAGGCGACGCGTAGCTGACTCTCGGACACTTCCGCCATCTTCTCCGGGGTGAACATGGTGGCCGCTGCTATTCCTGAATGTATTGTAGAGAAACACACGTGTAAAAATGTATCTCACACAGCATGTAGCAGACAGGGAGAAGGTTAATGAAATACCTTCTTCCAGAGCTTCCCGAACTTTGACCGGATCAGCTGAGAGGTAGAGGTTGGTGTGGTAGGCCTTCAGGTAGCCGATGGGACTGTTGCCTCCTGTCATACAGAAGCGCTCAATGAACAACTCTGCAGAGAGGAGGAATTAAAAGATCAGGTAACAGCAGACTTGCATACATTTGAGGAAATGCACGTCAACTGGTCACAGTGGTGCAAAAAAATTAGGAGCCAAACTGGAGGGTCCCCTTGAACTGAGAGGGAGTCTGATGTGGAGATATTTTATATCTCTTGTAGATGCATGTCGGGTTTGATAATATTTTACGTATTATGAGCTGATGAGCAGTCACACAAATTATGAGCTTTGTAATGGCATTTACAGATGAACTCTGGTTGAACAGGTGTATCTGGTTGACCCACAGGGGTCAACTCCCGTCTATATGGAGACCTACGTCTCCAATGCCTATTTTCTAACCATCTCCATAATTAGACCGTGCTGGTGGGGCGGAGTTGGCTCGGCTGCACAGGGGGAACCGAGCGAGGGGGGTTTACGGGGAACATTTCCGGGTCACTGTAAGCTTTATACTCTAGCAAAGCACAAAGCAATTACCAAGAAAATGTACAACAGAATCGGGTTATTAATACCTAAAAATGTCCTACTCACACTATAAAATACAGCTGTTAAGACCACAACTTTGTCGTGTTTGTCCTGACAATAGTGGCAGCATCCAGCAGACGTTTAGCAGATGTCACTCAGCACCACGGACAGCAGCCAGAGCATCAAATCCATCAACACTAATTCAACAGCGGCTCATGGACCAAGCGACGCGATGTTGTCACCGACACAAGTGACAGGAGGAGAGCATTTAGCAACACAGGAATGGTAACGATTCAATCGCTGCTACATTGAGTTTGTTCAAAAAACCCTCAACCAAGAATTAACACTGAGCTTCTGCTGCTGCACTAGTTGATCTAGTTTTCTATCTTAAAATGAGAAGAGGAAAAGGTGGCACAATGTGTATTACCTTTGACTATTGTTGTTATCTAAGTCTTTAAATGTTTAAAAGTGGGTATGTTTCAATTAACTAGAATCATATTAGAAACAAGTCATTATTAGGAGGGGTGAAGATCACAAATGATGTTTAAATGATCATATCGATATTCTGAACACTGTCCCACTAGGAGTAATACTGGAAGATTAGTGAGAATATAAATGTTGCCACTGACATGTTTTATTGTACATTTTGCCCATGTGGAACGGTTGTGGACGGTACGTTTTTCTCATTTACAAAATCACACGTTGACAAAGTCCTGTTTCACAAGGACGTTTTTGTCCCTCATCTGTATCAGTTACTCACGGTGATGATTGATGGTATTGATGAGTCTCAGGCCGACGTATGCGTGGTTGTTGGTCATGAGCACGACGTCAAAGAGCTCCTCGCTCTCGGGGTAAAGCTCCCTCAGCTGCGCGTTCACAGCCTCCAGAGCCTGGCAGCACAACAAAACACCAAAAGACAACGAGGATGGATTTGTGCGTGAGTGCGGGCGGGTTGTCGCTTCGTGCTTATTAATCCTCCACCGCCTCCACAGACACGACACATGACACGGACACCGAGGAGCCCCCTCTGCCCCGGGCCGGATGGAGTTCCCGCGTTTGTTTCTCTGACCTTCACGAAGGAGAAGGCCGGTCCGGGGGTGAAAGGCTGCGTCTCGTGCTCCACCTGGTACTTGATGTACTCCTCCAGGCCCTGCCGCTCGTAGATCTGCTGCTCCGTCTCCATGTTGAAGAGCACTCGGGCGGACACGCCGATGGTGACGGCATTCTCCGGCTTGGGCTGCAGGACAAGAGTTACGGACCGTTTTCAGAGTTGAGTTGTTCTTCACAAGCGCTGATTTGAACGCGAGGGTTTGTTTGGAGTTGTAACTCTTCAACAGATTGGAGGCGACAGTGTGACATGAGATACTTTCCCGTGGGTGACTGCGATAGTGACGGCCCACATACCAGGCCGGCTGACACACGTCAACTCTTTGGAGGCTTGGACGACAAATATAACACACTGTGCTAATGACTACTAATAACTACGACAAATATTCATATTGTTTTGAAATACATTATAGTTGGTTACGAGTGTGGCTGAACTTGATATAGATAGAACATTCTATACAAACTAAGATATACAATATACAGTAAGATAGATATTAAGAGCCTTAAAAAGCTGTTTTGACCAGACTAACAACTAAGATAATCGCATGCAACTTTAAGTTCCTGATAGTTATGGTAGTTGTGTCTATTCCTGTATTGTGGTGTATTTTCTGTGAGGAACGCTTTGAAACGAGTCCGTAGCCTTCACGGTGAACCGGGCCCACGATCAGAAACCAGAACCCTGTGAGCTCCACTCAGTCTCTCCGGCACAATGAAGCCGAACTTTCTACCACCAAGGCTTCAGATGCAGCGCTTGACCCCGATATGAACCTTCCTGCGGTTAGTCTCAACTTCAATATAGTTTAGAGGCAAGATCAGTCTGGTGAAATAAGCAACCTTTGACCTATTGAACACAAGTGTGTGTTTGCAGGCTTTGATGAGCAGTACCAGCAACATAATTGTGCTCCAAAAGATGAGAACAAGCTCAATTTAACTTTGCGGTTTACATCTAATACATTGCCGACTCTGCTACTCCACGTAGGAATAGAGCCTCACAGTGGCTGCTGCTGTAAGAGGACGATGCATTAGGGCGGCCGTACTCACTGGTTTGGGTTTTCTGGGTGGGGGTGGGAGGGCTTCTCCACCGTCCCAGTATCTCCCCCAGGAGCTCGGTTGCCGATGCCGGTGAAGTCCTGAGAGTCTTTTAGACTCATCTTACTTCTCGGGCTCACCACTCTCAGTCAGATCCACACAGAGGTCCTGATACCTTATGTAGTCTCCCCCGCTCTCTCTCTCTCTCTCTCTCTCTCTCTCTCTCTCTCTCCCTCTCTCGCTCACTGTCTCACTCCTACTCTGTCCCTCTCTATCGCTCTTTAGCAGGAGTTGCCGTCCAAGTACTTACTCAGTCTTTTAATATTCACCGTGTACTTCATATTTGATATTCAGCGCCGGCGCACTGAGAGGATGAGATCACTCCGACCGCCGCTGCAGAGGCTTGGCCCGATGCCCTTAAAGAGCGAAGGGAGAGAAAGAATGAATGTCGCAGAATAAAAGAGAGGTGTGCAGAGATGATGCCTTCCTGTTATCTCTAGCATTGTGCGCATCGTATCCCTTGTCCAGCCCTTCTGTGCTGGTCCTTTTACTGTGTTCTCCTGGTACCCTCACACACACACACACACACACACACACATACAGTGATGACTTCCAGCCATATTGCATCCGCCCCTCTTTTTAACGCTTTCAGTGTCTAATCTCCTCGAGCGGCAGCAGAACATGCGATTAAGTGTTTGTGACAACTGGTTGATGCAGCCTTTTGGGCAAATAGGGCCGACACGTCAGAACGCTGCTGCGTCATGATGTGCTGCATTCAGGCTTCAGTTCGCCCAAGAGAGAGCTGGAGTCCTTAGAACATGGAAGCAAAAATAGATCATTTCAAAGGAAGGTGGTTGTTATTTCATTTTTTTCCCGCGTTGTGCCCCCTGTGCTCTGAACTCCCGACAGTCAACCACCGTTTCATACTCCTGCTCAGCAGTGTGGGAAATGAAGTCCGTCCTGGCTCATTTGCTTCCGCCTGCGCGTCAGAATGATAATTTATTCTGGCTTCTTCCCATATAAAACCTTGTTGGATCTTTCCATTGAGTGAATGGCGGTGCTGCAGTCCCAGTTGCCAGGCAACGACCAGGGAGTCAGATTGGCTGGGACGTCCACATCTTGGCTGCAGGGACACCAGAGTGTATGCATAACCCTCCAAATATAGGATTAATCTGAAACAGACCGGTACAAAGATGAAAGGTTTCTCTTTGAAGAGCATACATATGGAATAAATGATGTTAGAGCTTATGAGAACAAACAGGCAGTTCAACAACTAGTGTTTGCTGGTAAGTAGATACTGAACAGACATTCATGCAGGGCCTCAAAGAACTAAAAACGAATTAGGACTAAACCGGATGGGTACATACAGCCATAATTTATATATATATTTATATAACTAGTCTAAAATGACTGTTTAGATCAAGGTTATATAAAACGAAATGTTTCGTTACTGACACTAATTCATTTTTATAAAAGTGTTCAAGATTTTTTTCCTACTTAGTGTAGATTTACTGTGGTACTTTGTGTACTTTCAAGGTGTCACCATCGAAGGTGAATCAAATCACAAACCAGCAGGGGGCCATTACGCCCGTCTGCAAAATCATCTACGCTGTCGTGCTATCATCCGGATCTTGCTCGGCTGGGACAACACACTCTCCTCCGGCCTCTCCAGAGAACCCAGAGAGCTTTCATCGATTGGAAACTTCCGGTTTGTGTCTTTTATTGCGTGGAACCCGAGGATTTCCTTAAGAGTATTTTATTATAATTATTCACGTTAGACATAATAAGAATTAATAATACACAACAGTTCTATTTGAAAGAATGAGCACAGGAACAATCCTGAAATCTTCAGATTCAAAATATATATTTTTAATCCTGATTGAAACACCCCAGTTGAGCCTCTCATTCGTGGTGGTGGTACTGAGAGCGAAAGCGGCCGTTTGTTGCGTTACACGGCGGGAGCCACCAGAGTGTAGTGGAGGACAAAGCTCTGGTCCCTGCAGTGCGGCGATGAAGGCCTCACTGCTTCGTTCATTGCTCGGGGCGTTGCAGACAAAGAGGATGTGAAAGAGATACGATGTGAGCGTGAGAGAGGAAGTTGATCTGAAAACAACAGTTTTTGTGTTATGAAATACTTTATTTATACACATTTTTTGGAATGGGGACTGTGTAGTGATCATATTCCTCTATAGAGTATGTAATTGGAAATCAATATTAATTAGTACTGGCTAAAATATATTATTTCACTTACATCTTTAAAGAAAGGCCAACAGGCCGTTTCATTGAGGAAAAGTTGGTAATGTTTGACAATATGAACCCTCACATATTGTCAAAATAAAACATGTCATTGTCTATAGAGAGCCCCTAAATTTTTTTATTTAAAGTTACATGAATAAAATAATAAATAAATCAGTTACAACGAGGGCCGAAACAATATCACATCCTGCGCATCATCAATTGCGCGTTTACCCTCCGCCGTGGCCCGAACTCCGAGCCCTGCCTGCTCTCGGCCTTTGTGTCTCCGCTTCCTATAGTCTCCGGCTCTGAGCGGGTTAACAGGACGTGGAGACAGTTGGGCCGCACCCACCGAGCTGATTTGAATGGAGCCGGCATGTGGCTCGGGGGCTCAGTGGAGCTGGCCTTTCTTCATACCGGCTGTAGCACCAGCCCCATGCACCCTGGGGTGGCGGGAAATTCTAGAGCTAAAGAGAGGGAGGGCGTGGGGGCCGGGGGGGGGGGGGGGGGTTACTGCACTGGCAGGTTTGCTGTACTTGAGGCACTGGTTTACCCCTGGATGCTTGTCACACGCCAAACCGACCGCGAGGGACAGATAAACACGGCGAGAGAGAAAAGAGGAAGAGACGTACGACACGCCTCTCTCTGTGTTTTGGCGCGAGACGGCTAGAGAGATAAAGCTCTCTCAGTGGAAGGCTTGTGGGAGGAGACAAAAGCAGGCATGAGAGGAGTGGGCCTGAACAAAGAGGGCAACGGACCCCCTCCAACCCCCCCCCCACCCCTCCTCACAGACCACTTCTTATCACCCCCCCCCCCTCCCGTAACACACAGCCTGCGGGGCTTGAGGCATGGCAGATGACTATTCTAACCTTAATCAGTCCTTCAAAGAAAGCACTCAGGCATGTTAGCCACCATCTTTGTTCTTACTGGGGTACCGCGTGGTTTTGGCATGAAGCCCCTCCCCCCCCCCCCCCATGTATAAAACCTTGCGCTCATCCAACGGCCGCGGTGGAGGCCCTCTATGAAGGTAATTTGTTGAAGGGCCCACAGCACCTCCAGTGACATCATTGGATGTGTTGTTATTGGCTTTCCGTGAGGCGACAGTCTAAATCCCCCCCCTGCTTCCCCGCCAACCCCCCCCCCCCCTTAAATCGGTAATACAAGTAAGTGTCTGGCAGCTGACGAAGCACAAAATGCAGAAAATCCCGCCGTCAGAGAGCAGAAAAGGCACAGCAGCGGTTCTTCTCACTTCCTGCCTCCAATGGGCGCAACACAAAAACAGGAAGTCTGTTCTGCCTGTGTGTTTCCTGGGCACATAACGGAGCTGCTCTCCCCCTTCCACCGGCCTACGGTGGGGAAGAGGAAAGCGGGCGCACTGGTTGTTACACAAGCTCCACAGTGGCGGTCACTCAGGCCCCCGACTACAACAGCAGCCACATTCAGATGCTGGCTGAAAAGAAGGAATTGTAGCACCGGACAGAGGCGTCTATGCACTATACATTCACCATCAGATAGGAGACAATCTGATAACACACTGCATTGTGCGTGTGTGTGTGTCTGTGTGTGTGTGTGTGTGTGTGTGTGTGTGTGTGTGTGTGTGTGTGTGTGTGTGTGTGTGTGTGTGTGTGAGTGGGGGAGGGTGAATCTGCATTTTATCATTCAAATGTATATTCATTGAAAGACACTCTCTGTACTCTCACACTGCAGTAATTGGTCAATAAATCGGTTTCCGATGGGGGTGGGATGGGGATGCCTCACGGGGGGGGGGACAAAGAGCACAAGCACTAAAATGGAGCCTCGGAGGGGGGTTGTAGTCGTGGTGGGGCCACTAGGAGGTCTGCGGGAGGTTAAAGGGGACTTGGGGGGAGGGTAAAGCCCCTCTCTGAGTAGCTTGGGGGGTGGGAGGGGGGGCGATCAATGGAGCTAAATTCAAAAGATGCAAGTAAGTGTCTCAACCTCAACTGGAGCAACCTTACACCGTGCGGCCGAACAATGGAACATCTGCTGGTTGACAGCGCAGTGAGGGCAGCGGATTTAAACTGCAGCTCTGTGGACAAAACCTCCAGCAGGAGCAACAGGTCTTACAATGTCTCTGAGATCCGTGTTCAAAATCAGTCGTGGCGCAGGGGTTAGAGAAGGTGTGCTGGGAAGCACAAGGTTGGTGGTTTGAGTCCAGGCTGCCCCATGTTCCATGTCGAAGTGTCCCTGAGCAAGACACCGAACCCCTAATTGCTCCCCGGGCAAAATGTGAAAAAAGCCATGGGTTTAAAAGTGTAATGTAAGTCGCTTTGGCTGAAAGCGTCTGCTAAATGACCTGTAATGTAAAACATGTCAGGTTTTACATTGAATAGCGTGTGTTCTGTTGGTGTTTTCTCCTCTGGATATACAATGAAATAATAACATGAAAATATTATTTATTTATAAGTAGCATATATTTCTGTTTTAATATTTTGTTGATGAAAAATTCAATTAAATATGTTTTTTTAATTTACACAACAGACATGGAGAATGTCTGTTTGTCATCATTAATTTGGGATTGATTATTATGCTGAAAACAGCTGCAGAGCAGCGTTGAGTGTACCCTTGTTCCCTTATACCCTTATACCCTTTTTTCTTGTTTTCAAGGCTGGTGATATGTTGGAGAGGCCCCACTCAAAGGAGAGATGATGCATGTCCAGTAAACCATGAACCCAAGGCCGCTCGGGCAGTATAGAAGTGACAAACATTGGCCCAATGTTCACGAGTCAACGACATGTCAGCTGAGTTAAGAGGATCAGATGGGAAACACGGACAATGAGTCATCTATTAAAGATAACCAGGTTCCACATTACATCCCCAATAGGACAACGATAATAATAACAATGCTTCCAAGATTATTGGGAGCATTATGCCAGCTTGACTGACTCCCTCACAGGCCAGGTCCCCCTCACCCATTCAGTGTGTGTGTGTGTTGGAAGGGTCGGTGGTGAGTGGGTTGCCAGGGTGAGGGTAGCACAGCTGTCACTGCTGAGGCCCTTTTCCCCCCTTCTCTCCTTGTGCTTATCCATTAACCAGCGCCACGGTTACATCACGGCGGCTAATGCTCCCTCTCATGTCTCCGGTGGGCAAAGACCCCTATAGAAACAGTTTACTCGTGTTTGTGTCTACAAACTCTCACCGACAACCTGTGAGACTTTTTTTCTCTAGCTGCCCGTCCTGTTTCTTTAGCAACATTTGGCGTATTTGCGGTGTTCACGCTGCTGGACCACCGTCCATCCGCAGAACGTCCAGGTCGGGGGAGGTTAGCGCACGCCACTGACAGCTCCCACAGCGCGGTGGCTTGAAGACCTTTTGATGGGTTCATTACAATCAGAGCTGTGGTGCGTCTGGGCCCAGATGGCAGCGGCGTTCACACTAACGGGATTAGGATTAGCTCCAGATTAGAGTTGAAAGGACCGCTCCGCTGACACGATATGGCCGCGTTGCCCCACGCTAACTCTCCTGAACTCGTCTGAGACGCTACTAAACCACAACAAACGAGTTAACCGTCTTCTTGTGGAGGGCCGGGGGGGGGAAGGTGTCCACAAAACCGGTGTTGCACAGGAGCTAACTACACTTTGCACGATAATTGGCTGAGGTGTAAAGCGTAACACCGGTTGGACGCCATTCAGCTTTTGCCAGATGTGTACGAGAAGAGACGAAGACGTACTGCGTGTTCCAAATGAATCATCAGTCTTATGTAACAACGGCCTTGGCGTGGGGAGGGTCGGCAACACAGAGAGAGAGAAAGTGAGCTCAGAAGACTGACCTAGATCAGTAAGTGGTGGAGATAAGTAACCGTGTTGGAGGCCAAAGAACCATCAGACGGGGTCTCGGGGAGACCGGCAGGGGACAAGGGGTGCAGCGAGAAAGAGGACGGCAGGAAAGGGAGCTGAACAGGAAAGCAGGGAGTCAAAGAGTGTTATTTTTTTGCAGCATAATCTTTTTTTTTTTTCCGGCGGTGGGTTCACATTCCCGTTGGGATCAGACGGACAGTAGCCGCCACAACCTGGGCCCGAGTCCCGGGGACACAAGCAGACTGGAATGTGGGTCAGTAGGCAGAGAGCAGGAGGACTGAGACCAGGGAAAAGTTGTGCGAATGTGCCACCGAGAAGCACGATGCTCCCGAGCGCGTTTCAATCCATACCTGCTCCCTCTGTGGCACATGTCCTACGTTCATCCGCGTCCACCAGGTGCACCGTGCTTTAGAATCACAAACCAGTGCAGTTTGCTCACGGGTCGTTTCCTCCTCTGCATCACTGTGCAAACACACAGTGTGTACAAACCAGGCCAGTCAGAACACAACCAGTTGACTTGGTGCTGGAAATGTTGCTCAATGTGCCTCGCGTGTTTTTTTTTGTATTCATTTGAAAGTGCAAGGGTAAGAGATTCATGAAGGCTTGCGAAAGTTTATCCTCCCCACTTTCCAAGGAACACAGATGCACTTCGTACGTTGCTCAATTTAAGCTGGTATTCAGTATTCAGAGACTCCTTTTCCCAAACTGGAGATCCCCCCCGTTTGACCTGGATGGTGGTTCAGTGAGCATGAAATGCCAGAACGACGAGTATAACTGGTAGTGTGTTTCTCGTCAGGGAGGCCAGAAGAAGGCAACACGCGCTTATGTGGTTATGAGTTTTTTTTTTCCCGTATTTACGTGTTTTTTTGCGGTGATGCTTTTATGTGCAAAAGGTCACACATGCAGACATGCTAATATGTGCTCACTCACTCTTATGCCATCGGAATATTAACAGGGTGAAATGCGCTGGTAAGCACACGCATGCTGTAAAAGAAAACAATGAAATATTAATAAGATTACTTTTTCCATAAGGGAAACGTGTGTGTGTGTTTGCCAGAGAGAAGCTACTCTCCATCCGGCCGAATCCTTCATTCTCCACAGTCTTCCCCTGACCACACACACGCATTGGGTCTTGTACCCTGGGAATACGTAAACCTCTATGACGTGGCCATGAACACATCTCCTCTTATACCCGGCTGATATTCCATAAAGGGGACAGCAACAGGTTGCAGCCGTCTGGGACTAAAAGGCCGCTTTTTACGGCGGAGATCAAACGTGGCCTCCAGACGTGAGAGAATGAAACACATGTGCTCCAAGAGGACGCAGTCAGTTTGAGCATGTGTGTGAAAGTGGTCACGTGTGCACTTCAGAAGTCACGGCTGTGTGTGGGCGTTGCAGCCAGTCCGGTCCGGCAAGTTAACCGCCAAAGCGAAGAAGAGCTGAGATAAGCGTCCCGCTGGAGAACGGGACTCTCTTACCTCATTATTTCTTTCAAGGAAACCCAGTTTTACAGCAGCATGAACACGCATGCGGCGGTTTATTTATCTGTAAAAATAAACGCTGGATGGAATGACAGTGCAGGCTAAATGCTTTGCACGTTGCTGTTGGATGATTTCATTTCCCAGAAAATTTCAAACAGGAAAAAAAACGCTTTGAACTTTGCCTGTTATTAAATGAATAAATGATTTCCTACTCCGGGGTTGCATCACATCTAATGGACTTGTAAGGTAACAGGAAACAAAGGCAGGTTGCTCTAATCTGGTCCGAGTTCTGATATCTGATTCCTGCTCTCACTTCCTGATGCAGTAAACTGGCTGTTATGCCACTACGTTTTTTTAAGTATTAGTTACTTTTCAATGAAATGTCAACGCATAGGGAAGAAAACTACTCTCTACTGTGCATGGACTCCAACATGGGGAACTTCTGTAAAAGGAAATGTTCAACGGTGCCAGAAAACAGTGCCCTCGGGTCAAAAAGTGACACCCGGAGAGTGAACACGGGCAGGTGGAACGCCATGTTATCCTGACGCAACAAAGGCCGGCGAGGTGAGAGACGGTTGGAGCTCAGGGTGTGCCCGCCCCCACCGCCAGGCTGAATGAAACGGTTGCTTAGTCTATTAAACAAGTGATTGGCAGACCAACGAGTCACGCCGGCGTGCAGAGACTCGTCCGAGAGGTCATCGATGGAGCAACTTCGGTAGTTGCATTAAAAACGGTCTTTTTGTTGCAGCCCAGTAAAGTCTCAGATTAGAGCCTGCGGTTACTGATAAACAGCCACCAAACACAACTGTTCAAAAATTAGAACCCGAGCTTACAAACGGCCGTCAACTTTACTCACGCAAGTAGCGCTGGTGGTGAACGGCAGCTGTGCCAACAGCCTCACCCTCCGACACCACATGAAGCACAAAGCAGTCACGTGGGGACAAAGCTTAACGCAACAAATGCCAGTCCTGTGAAAGTGGAAAAATAAAAGTAGCGTGATCAATCATGAACAAAATCATACCGCCACTTCCTCCTGTTTTGTGTTACAGCCACTTGCAACGAAGCAGCACTGCATACCTGTGCAGATGACTGCGCCGCATCCAGGTGCTAGTCACCCCCCACCAAACCACCAGTCTCCAAACCAATTGGGACTGATCTAAAGATACCCATTGTACCGGTGTGTGAGTGTAACCTAGTTTAGCGCACATCAGCGGGCTGGCGTGCAGCAGCCACTGCAGAGGGGAGGACCCACAACATCACCACACACACACTCTCTCTCTCTCTCTCTCTCTCTCTCTCTCGCTCTCCTCAAGGGCAGGACTCAAGGACAAGCCGGGTCCTGCAGACCAGCATCAAGGGCACAGGACGTGTTCGAGTACACAACGGAGGAAGGAGCGCATGTACTTTTTGTAGGATTCTCTGGTTTACAGCAGATTTGAGCGAGCGAGTCGATATCCTCAAGCGGTCATTTGGAATAAAAACATTACTACAGGGTCTGAATGCAAAGAGGTATAAAAATTTAATGACGCGGCCAATGTTAACATGCTTTAGAAAAATAATTCAAAAGGAAAAAAAAAAAAGGGGTTCAGGAGAAGCATTGAAATCACAAAGTGACGTGTGAATATAAAGTACAGCAGTGCTACTTATTTTTTCACCCATTTTTCATACTTTCTTAACAAAATAGAGGTTCCTCGATGCCTGGTGGCACGTCATAAAGGGGCGTAAGGCTCATTGACAACTCTCAGCTGTCTCCTTCACCAGGAGTGATAAGATATTATTTACAGAACAATTTGTACATCAAACCCACTCATTCGCTCACGCGTGTGAGGCATTCACATTTCATTACAAAAGATAAGATAAAAAATAAAAACACAGAAAATCACTTATACACAAGTTCTCACTTCCCATCACAGCATACCAAGATATACCTTTGTCGTCGCTATAAGATCAATTCCATTACCGCTGTCGAAACCAGAAAATTGTCCAAAAGAAAAAACACAGCACACCAGCTGCCCAATATCAGGTGCGTGGGCCTCAACTTTCAATTCACGAGGCCCTCGGCGGTACGGACGTGTCGCAAAACGCGAGAATGCAGCTGTATCGGAACAGAGACCCCCGAAAGTTCATCAATGTGATTGACGAGGCGGTTCAGTTCATAACGCGCCTCACGAGCGCTTCAGCTCGGATAACCTGCGCATGAGCTGCTGCTGTCGCGTCTTGAGCCGCTTCTTCTCCTGCAGCTGCCGCTTCTCTCTGGCGTGCAGGTCCGACAGGTACTCCGTGGCGTGGGTCAGGATCGCCACCTTCGGGGTCTTGGCCGACACCAGGCCGGGGACCTGATCGCGCAGGGCCAGGAAGCGGGAGCGCAGGTCGTTCCTCCTCTTGCGCTCGAGGAAGTTGTGGTTGCGCCGGCGGTCGGTGTCCTCCGCGTCCGAGGACAGCGGGCTCTCGGAGGAGGAGCCGGGCCGGGAGACGTCCGTCTGCTGGCCGGGTGACGTGCGGGTGCGCTTGCTTGGAGGCTCCTCTGCATACTCATCATCATCATCATCTTCATCCTCCTCTTCTTCTTCTTCATCATCGTCATCCTCATCGTCGTCGTCCTCAAGGTCGCTGTCTGGCGAGCGGGCGGCGTAGTTGTGCTGCTGCCGGTGGACGGACATGTGGAAGCGCCTGAGGCAGGAGTCGGCCCGGGCCGCGATGGTCACCGGTTTCCTGGCGTTCACCAGCCGCACCCGGTTCTGCTTGTTCTCCACGGTGACCACGTCGATTTCCTCTTCGTCATCTGCGATCACACACGCAACTCGGTCAGTACACATTTAACAACAAGAGGTTTCAACGCCACCCTGGATTAAACGGACTGTAAGCAGGAAGTGCATGCAAAAGTCCCACTCAGAGGAGGAGCGTTAATAGCACCCTTGCCAAAGGCTGGCAGGAAAACCAGGCTTTTGTCTTTGAACACTGAGCATTCATCGAGCATTCTAAAAGGAGAGATCCGCTGGCAGGGGGGGGGGGGGGCGCGCGCGCAACTCCCTAATTTGGGAAATGGGAAAGGGTGACTCTCACGGTCTGTCGCATGGAGGATGTGGGGGTCTCGTCACTCCGCCCTTTTTACCGCCCTCAGTGATGCGTAAGCCAGGGTAAGATAGTTGAGGTGGGGCGATTCAGGTCAAGAGGAACGGGGGCGCGGTTTTTAAAAAAAAAAAAAGACCTCTTGGGCAATCTGCGCCAACACGTGGCGCATTATCGAAGTGAGAGTAAAAAAAAATAAAAAAAACTGACTGATCGAACGGTTACTTGATAACCAGCTGTGCACTGAAATGACGCATCGAGGGCCTTATAGCCCCAATGGGGCGGGGGCGGGGTGGGGCAACTTTAGAGCTCGACTGCGGTCTTACCGGAGGAATCGGAGCGGGACTCCGAGCCGGACGACGCCGGCTTCCTGCAGCCCGTCGTCGGGAAGGTGAGCACGGCCGCCGGGTCCACGCAGTCCGTCGCCAGGGCGGCGAGCGGCGCGCCGGGGGAGACGCACTGCGCCCGGCTCGGTCTCACGCAGAGCTGGGCCGCCCCCGGGGGGGACGCGGCCTGCGCCTTGACCTTCTCCAGCTGCTTGCTGGCGGAGAAGCCGCTCCACATGCAGTCCCGGATGATGATGGAGCTGAGGTTGCCGAACAGCTTGCCCGCCGCGTCGGGGATGAACTGCCCCTCGGACTCCTCGTCCGGCCCGGGGACTTTGGACCGCCAGCTGAGCTTGTCCCCCGGCGAGAGGTGCAGCGCGCCGGCGCTCAGGGTCCGGGTGGGCGACATGGGAGGGGTGGGCAGCAGCTCGAACTTTTTCCATATGTCCTCGCTCGGCGCGGTCGATTGGTAGAAATCCTGCTCTCGGTCGTAGTCGTCGACGAAGTAGTGGTGGTGGTAGTAGTCCATGTTCACAGTGGGACGAAAAGACCCCCCAGAGTTTATTCCCAGTGAAAAGATCCGATGACACCAGCTGGTTCTGAGGAACGTCCTGCACAACCCTGAGCGGGGAGGGAGGGGGGGGATGACACAGTGGTTAGCAATGCACTCTTTAAAGTAGTTCCCACTATGGTCACAGTTTCTAGTACCCCGCTAATGGGGCAACAAACGGGACCACGTTAATAATTGATTGGATGCGCTCTTCGAAGGGAGGGCGGATTAAAACAATCCAGGAGCACGCGGTTATTTTATTATCCAGCCATGAGTCAGCGCCAGCATTTAAAAAAAAAAAAAGGCACAACTGTGTTTTAAATAGACAGAGAGACGCGGTCCTGCGTGAAAGTTAACGAGCCGCGACCGCGTTTCCTGAAGCGCAGGCGGCGCTTTGTTCCACGCGACATTTAAACGACTCTCGCGTTACACTTCTGCCGCCTCATCGGAAACTTACACAAAGAAAACGACAAACGCTAGAACACGAACTTTACTCACCGGGTTTTCCGCAACAAAAACACACGAAAAAAAAGCCCCAGTGGGGAATTTAGGGCATCGGAAATAAATCCCCGGCAGAGCGACGCGGGTCCCCGGGATCAGCCGGAGGAGCGGAGCGGCCCGAGAGGTCGTCGTCAGATGTTCGGTTCGCAGTCTTTACTCTTGTTTTTTTTCTTATTATTTCTTTAAGCAGTTTACGAGGCGGAGGTGTGCATGTGTGTGACCGTGGGGGGGGGGGGCGCGCGAAGGGCTCAGACAACAGGCTCAGGGTTCGCGCCCAAATGTGCTACAGAAAGGCGCACAATGCATTTTTCGCGGCAGTTAGATATCCTGTTATAAGCAGCTGGAAAAAAAGGGAGGGGGCGGAGGTGGGAGGGGGTAGGAGCCTCCTGAATTGTCTGCTGCCGGTAGGATTCAGGGTAAGCCCCCAATTTGCATCGGGGGCGGGGTGGGGGGAGGGGCGGGGCTTGCTGCTTGGCCCCGCCCAGTCTACAGCACCAATTATGGGGCACAATAACTGACCGATTCCTTCATCGATATTTGTTGCCCTTTGCGGCGATAGAAGAAGGAAACATGTGTTTGATCTTTCTGTCAGTCATTTACTTTTGTCAGTGAGATTGTTGTTTCTCTCCCGCCTCCCTTGCCGGGCCATCGACTGCATATTAAAGCGGAATATTGTACCGTTTACTCCAATTTACTTTGACAGCTGCTCGTGACTTTTCATATTATATACAGTTTGTTCCCAGGGATCGAATTATTATCAATTTAAAAATAAAGCACAAAGCTTTGTCGTAGATTAAATAACTTATCGGTATGAACTGGAATACAGTTCCACATTAAGCTGTGATATTTAAAGCTGAATCAAGTAGTTGATTGATAGTCTTTGTCTTATGTAACAGTGGGCTGATTATTTTTGATTGCTCCAACTTTAGAAGGTATTGATCATCATTTTTTTTTACATTTTAATAGAGTTGATTAATGACAAATAATATTAAAAGGGTTAAGCTAGTAAAACGTCCCTGTGTTTTAGAGATATACTTAGGAAATCCAGGAGATTGTTTTCTGCATAATGAAAACCATTACTAGAAAATACAATTTCCAATGAAGGACTTGAAATTGATAAGTTTTACATCGAGTTCCGCTTTTAATCATTTAAGGGACCCATCTTCCACCGATGGATCCCAGCATTATAAACACTAAATCAATGTTTCACCATAACCACAAAATGCATTTGAGATGCTCCACAAAGTAGTGGCGTTCACGTCCTGCGTCTTCATCTCTGTCTTGGCGTTGCAAGACGAGCCGTGGTCCTCATCCTTTAGGCAAAGTGGACTTAACGTTGAGGACAAACAGCAGTTTAAAGACGATCCTTTTCCTCCTAACTAAGACCACAGGGAAGGGTGGATTAGGGCTCTGAATGATCTGCATTTAACACAATAGACTAGAATAATGGTGGTGAGGTGAGTAATCTTCTCTACAAGTTTATATCTTCAACAAACACTACTACATTGGGTCTTAAATTCCCTGTTTACAGGACACAAGAAGGAAAAGACGTCCCCCGATAAGCTCATGTCAGCGACCCGAGACGTCTAATCATTTTAACCGTGATATGATCACATTGATCAAGCAGACACGTGATTGGTTTATATATATATATATATATATATATTGTCCGGCGTGCGCGAATGCGGCCTCACTTTGGAGCAAAAAGGTCAAAGTTCACCAACGTCTCATGACCAGACACCGCGGGGCAAAATCATTCACCGGCCGAGGCCTCGACCTCACCCTCGCTAACATATTGATCTGTTTGGTCGCACAACACGCACGCCTCCTCCTTGATTAAGCATCTCGGGCTGATAAACGCCCCCCCCCCCCATGTCTCTGCTCACACGGACAAGTTAATGTCATTAGTGACTGGCATCTGCTGTTGGCCTGAGGTCGTTCCCCTGATTGTGACGCGCCTTTTGACTGAGTGGTTAGAATGAACTAAAAGCAATCAACGCTTACAGTTGCTGTTTGATTGTATCGCTCCGAGAACACAATTCCATCTCTAGAAACACAAATCATACTTGTTGAAGATATTTTATGTACGATATCTCTGCGAGTATGGACTTTCTTTATTTTTTCGTTAGACCAGCGTTTTGGAAACCATGTGTTTACACCTTTTATAGCCTTTTGGTTTCTGTTAATCGTTGGTGCTTTCTTGGCCGGATCTCTCATAAAAACAATATTTTGAGACCTTTAAGTGGTTGAATAAAAGAAACATTAAGAATGATACTTTATGCACATCAGGTCTTTTTAAATGGATTGCATTGCAAATTTAGAGTAAGTTCAAAACGAAACATATTCTTGCCAGTGACGTTGCATTTATTTCCTGCATGATCACATCTTTTCATTCCACAGTGGACCAACCCTCAGTCTGCCATGCAGGAAGAATCTCATCCCTGCCAAAGAGAAGAATGACAAAGATATGCTCCCTTAAAATTTAGATGAGGACCCCCTCCCCTCCTCCTCTCTCCGGCCCCTCCATCAAAACCTTGGGACATCGTCGGGGTTAACAATGCTTAACACCAACAATAGGCGGCTCCCTGCTTAACTTCAAGTACCTGCTACCGTCTCTCATTGTTGGAGTATAGCACATGCGCGAAGGGTTGTAAAAAAGGGGGGTCGGGGGTTCACCTCGGCAGCCTCCCCCCCCTCACCCGCCAGAAGAACATCGCTCACAGCCACAACGCAGTGCAGGAATTTAAATCTGTTTTATTTTGGGGCACTGTGTGGAATTGTCCCCATGTGCAATACAAGGGGTGGGGTCGGGTCCTTCTTTTCCCCACGGCCTCTGTGACCCCCCCCCCCCGACCCTGACCTCTCACCTTCTCCAACCGTCTCAATCCGTAGCAACAGTGGAACCAGTCACCCGCAGAGGGAAGCCATGCAGAGGAGAAAGACAACGCAGATAATTCACACAAGTGTTATTGCTCCCCGGGGAGGTATTCTGACACCCTCCTTCCTAAAATACCACAAGAGTGTGATCAGCAAGGCGCCGGCTTTACCTGCTTTCACACGCCGAAGACCGAATACCGGCGGTGCCTCACGTCGAGCCTTTGCTGCTGATGTTATTGCTCGCTTTTAATGATTTCACGGATGATGATCGTTAGTGATGGTTGCAGTGCAAACCTTCCTTCCTTCAGCATTACATTATACACTTTTACAGCGTTCAAATGGCAGCCACACCTCCGAGTTAATAATCACGGCAGGACGCGCTCACGTCATAAATAAACTGCTTCCTTGAACTCGTGCCATGTTTACTGGTGAATGTATAAGGTTTATGTGAAAAAAATTTTAAAAAGCGGAGATCAACACGTTGAGGACGTTGTGCTTTGTACCTGTTAAAAAGGAGTGATTGGATCATGGGAAATAGTAACATGAGTGTAGCAGTTGGAGAGCCACATTCCTGACGGCAGCCATGGCCTCCTGCAGCATTGTGTATTTATGGACTAAGTTAGGATGCCACCTGGTGCTTGCTATGTGTAAATAACTCCTTTTCCTCGTGTTATGTGAAAAAGCCCATTGGGAGAAGAAGTGTTCATATTCTTTCTGTAAGACAAAGATGAATTACATCAAAATGCACAATGAAATTTGAAAGTCTTGCATTCAAAATAGGGAACAGAACAGGCGTGTCATAGGATATCTTGGTGTTATTTTATTATACAGTGTTTTTTGTTTTAAATAGCAGAGAGAAGAGAGTCTGTGACAATGCAGGGTATTTTATACGGGGATCATGAGTTTATTCATGGGGAATCTTAATCAACAAGTTGACTAATGTCAAACGCTTGCAGTTCAGAAAAATGTAGACATGAGTGAAAACAGAAGTAATATTATGGGAATACCCAAAGTAAATTATTTTTAAGTGCAGGTATCGGCGTCTGGAAGAGCCTGAATCCCAACAACAGAGAACGGGAAGATTCAACGAAGGACCATTGCAGACTCAAAAACATCCCACAAAGGGTGACAGATTATATTGTTATATTGTTTCATCAATCATCGGTCTGATCAAAGAATATGGTGTACAGAATTACAGATTTTGTACACAGTTGCTACTGTTTGACATCATTTCGGTTAATACACATGGATAGGGGATTCGATTAGTTTTTTAAGAAGAGTTCAGACAGAACAGACGGCTCAGTACTTTTAATACTTCCCTTAATGTCCAGCAGATGGCGCCTGAGTGGCATAATAAACATAAGCACAACGTGTGGTACTTGACTTGAGTATTTCCATTTTATACGGGGACGAAAGACGGGAATGAATAAATTGCGATATGAAAATGAACTGATGCTGATAAACAAATACAGTTCAGAAAAAAATACAACATTTGTCTTTTAGATGTAGTGTACGATTGTGCATGTGGATACAATAGAAATACTCAAGTAAAGTACATATCAATTTATACATGTGTATATATATGTATAACATTAGCACATTTGTATACCTGTATAACCCTTTAAAACAGGGTTTGCTAACATTAACCAACATACATTGCAAAAAAACCTCTTGAAGTCATGTGTTAATTCCCAAATCCAATGTTGACCCATTATGGTTGATGACTACACTGTGTGGGTGTTTAATACAGAATAACTCTACGGCCGCCGGAGGGGGGGCGACTGATCCCCCGGTGATTCCTCCCACTCTCGTTGGTACTTTTGCATCCGCTTTCGGTTCAGAGCTAGACGCGGGGGGGGGTGTCTGGAGGGTATCCGGGGGGGTCGGGGGGTATATATATAGCTGCCTCTGCCATTCTTACAACTCGACACTCCGCCAAGAGACCCGCCCTCCTCTGGCTCTGATTGGTTTGTTTCAGGTTCATGGCCAATCAAACCAACGATTCCGGCGAGTATTACCCCATCAGGGGGCAGAATGGGACGAGACTTCACAGAATTCGGGTGGGATTTTTTGTACGGGATGCTGCGTTGACGACAACTCGGAAAATGCAGGACAAACCCCGTCCTGTATTGATTCAAAACGGGACGCGCTTTTTTATTCTTAAATACGGGGCGATTGCGTATTTTAAGGGACGGGTTGTAACCCTTGGGTGTTTTTTTGTGTCTTATGTGGTTCAACTGGAAAAAATCAACAAAGTAAAAGCAGATGGATTACTTCAGTGTCTGCGCAGTCATTTTAAAAGATAGACAATTGCACATTGTGTCAAATTGAACATTTGGTTTAGGGGAGAGTAAAATGATAAATATGGACCTGAATAACACACAGTTCTTCAGTAAAATTAAGCTTAAAGGTCAACTGTGCGCACACTCTTGATTGAAGCCAATCCGCAGGCTATGCATGTTTTTGGTTGTTGGCACGGGTTAAATCCCCCTCACCCTGATAAACCGACCATAAACCGGGCTTTGAGCTGGTCAATGAACAATGAGGGGAAAGCCAGAGAGTTCAAAGGAAGACAAGACACTTCCTCTAGATTTCCTTAGTTTTTCTGGATTACACTTCTTGACACACTATGACACACATGTCTTTAAAACTTGATGCCGTCACATTTTACCTTTTCCTTCTCTTTTTTTTTTTGTCAGGGTGTAAAAATGGAAAAGGAAAGTGGAATACGATTTAGAAAGGATGAAAAAGGAAATTAAATGCTGCCCTTCATACCCAGGGTACACACATAAGAGCCCGATTTAGCTGTAGTGACTAATGATTCAATGTGTCAAGTTATGTGCCTTGTGATACTCTGCGTGAATGTGAAAGTGAAAGGGTCTACACGACTGGTACTCACTGTGATACTGGCAGCGAGGGCAATGGCAGCAGTTTCAACCTCCAGAAGGTAAGAAGTTATTCTGATGATCTCGCTGCGTCTTCTCATAATGTTCTTTAAGAAGCGTTGAGTAAAGCACAAATACTTTTGTTAAATTGTGGTCTTTGTACAAAAAAAACGCCTTTCATAATCTGTTCGTTAAAATCTTTGTGAAGACCACTTTGGGATTAGGACCAGGTTTGATTTGTGGTTGGCTTTAGCAGTGGGGTAATTAATAAGACTATGGTTGTGGTAGTCTGGTGAATGCATTATGTGAAGGGCACAATTCGATTTGGTTAAATCAGCCCGGTTAAAGGTGGATAATAGACAGAGGAAATTACTGCCGTCTTCCCAGTTGACACAATTTTAGTTCACCTATAGACTAACATTCACAGTATTAAACTTCTAACCGGAATAAAAGCTATTTGATAAAGAAATCTGGACAATAACTGTACAGGAAATGTTTTACTAATATTCTACAAAAATCAAATATTCTTACTTTACACATTTACAGAATTATTCAAAGTAAAAAAGGAAAAGTTCCATATTGGCAAGTTCAGAAAATATTTTGACAGTACAAATTTAGAAATTTCTCCAAAAAGTCTATTTTACCTACAAATATGGGACTTTTACTCTGGAAAATATATTAATGTGGACAGTAAAAGTATTTCATTTTTTGGACAACTGTAGTCAGAGAGGTCCTTAACACATGTACATTGGTCTTTGTCTGGAATTATTGAGAAAATAGCTTTTATTCTGGTTACATGTTTACTACCGTAAATGTCAGTGTGTGCACTAAAAATTTACCACAGTAGCAAATTACCCCTCAGATTTATTTAATAAATCTCATTGGAAAGACTTATATGAGACGGATAAAACATAAAATATGGAGAAATTAACTTTTTGAACTTGCCAATGTGGAACTTTTACTTTTACAACTCTGTGGCAGCTCTGTGGCAACTCTGTGATGTCACAAGGGGAACACTCATTCTGCATTCGACCTACCAACTCGAGCTTCCAAATTTAAAAAAACACGCAGTGATGGAGGTTTACTGAACTTCAGATCTTCATGGATTAGAGAATACGAAAATAATAGTGATCCATTTGAAGATGGTTAACTGATTTTGAAGTCAGCAGTCCGTGCCTCTGTGGTGGGAGGTGAAAAAAAAAACTGTAAACTAAATCAAGAAATAGTCAGTTGTTTCTGTTTTGTTTGTATATATACCACATGTGTTATTTGAAAATAAATTGTTGTAAGGGCAATTTGTCATTGTGAAAAAAAGAGATATATTTAACATTTGGTGAAATTACAGGCAACACTTAAACTCAGAAATAAATGTAATTAGAAAATGTGTTTTTAGATATTTATTATACATAAACATACGATATCTTCCATTACTTTTGGGAAGACAACACATAAGTAAACCAATTTCAAGCACCAAAACAGTTACCGTTTATACCAACAGGTGGCAGTATACGTGTATTTAAAACATCCGTTGTCTAAACTGTCATCTAAACTGTCCCCCTAATACGAGAAAGGTGAATCTAATCCAATCTTTTTTATCGAGGGTGTGGATGTATAGTAATTATGTGTTTGTGTGGTTCCACAAGAAAGCAGTCACAAAGAAACATTAGCGCACTGCTAATACCCAACAGGAATAATGAGCAGTAACTATTTAAAGCTCACCATACCCGCGGCTGCCACAGAGCTGCCACTGAAATGCCACAGAGCTGCCACAGAGCTGCCACTGAAATACCACTGAGCTGCCACAGAGCTGCCACTGAAATGCCACAGAGCTGCCACTGAAATGCCACAGAGCTGCCACAGAGTTTCCACTGAAATGCCACAGAGCTGCCACAGAGTTTCCACTGAAATGCCACAGAGCTGCCACAGAGTTTCCACTGAAATGCCACAGAGCTGCCACAGAGTTTCCACTGAAATGCCACGGCAGCTGACCTGTCGTACAAACAACGGCCGTTTCAGGGAAAACGTGGCCCCACCCACTCCGCGTGACGTAGTGACGCCCGCCAAGGGCTTGCCACAGATTGGCTATTCTCACTCACTTGCTACTGCCTGCCGTTGCCCCAAGGAGGATCTGGACCTCGGGCAATGACCGAGGACGAGCGACTTCAATAGCACTTCCCATCAGAGCATTGAGCACAATGCCACGAAGCGGAATATTACAATATCTAAAAAGTCGTTGTGATTGATTTACGGTCTGCACAGCACGATGGCACGCGGAGAGGGTGCGGAGCCGCACGCTGCGACTTTACTGCCAATCGAGCCTTTAAACACCGAGATCAAGACAGCGAAGGTAAGAGCCGGCAAAGGTGTGTGTGTGTGTGTGGTTCATATCTGGGGTGTTCATGTTTTTTTTCCCGTACATTCAGGGGAGACGCGCCTAAAGGAGAAATATGAAATATGATCATCGCGGCCGTTGCCTTCTTTCGGTTTCGCCCTCGCTATTTCAAATTCACACATGGTTTGTCCATCTGCTCACCGGCAGCTGCTCGTGAGTCCGTCACACCGGTACCGGCTTTTAAAGGGACCACATCTCTATAATTAAACGTGCCCTTTTTTTTTTAAACACGTGGTTCGAAGCGCACAGCGCCGGTGAAGACAGATGTGGCGCAGAAGCGTGGTGTGGCGAACTGCGCCATGGCTGTATATTACTTTGGGTGGAGAATCAAAAAGTGTGTTCAGGAATAACGTTCAAACAGCATTTCAACCAACATCACGTGCAGAGAATTGTGTGTGTGTGTGTGTGTGTGTGTGTGTCATCACGAGATGATTCTCAAATGTGAGGCGTGAGTATTTAATCTACAGCCATTTATTGCCACGTATGCTACACATACACGGATCTGTCATGGTGGAAGGTGGAATAAAAGGAGACTAGAATAAATGAAGTAAAATAAGATAAAAATGTAAGACACGTATGTGTTATTACATTTTCTGCATGAAAATGTTCTGGTGATCACATTCAAGCGCTGCAAAACCTGTCAAATTGAATTCAAATATACCTTTAATAGGGTCGACAGGCGATTATTTGGCTTTGACAAAGCATTAAGACACTTTTTATTTATTTAATTGAAATAAATCTGTAATGAAAATACTTCTTAAAATATCAATTATATCAATTTCATCATCTTGACGTTTTCCAAAATCCCAAATCTCTGTGTTGCTCATCAAAGCTCCCAGGATGCATTCCTTCATGTTACAATGACGGCTTTTGGGAAGAGGGCGTGGCTCCTATGTCATTTGTGAAAAGTCTGCATTTAAATCCCCCAAAATAAGGTGGCGCCACTTCTTCTGCCTGGCTGTGAATTGTGGTGTAGAGACCCTCTTGCTGACATCATCCGGACCGCTGCATCCGATAGGCTCTAAGCCGTCTCCTCACTTTTGGCGGCATGAAACGTCTCACTACCTCGAAGGAGCCAATGGCAGCGCAGCATCTCCTCTGACGTCGTTTGAGTGTGCGTGAACTACAGTAACCTCATAGTTTCACGCCACAGCCTGACTGCTGCGTCGGCGCCCGCAACGAATCAGCGATTTGCCTGTAATCTGAGCGGAAGGGGTGATGGAAGTTGGACGTGGCAACGGGCTTGTTTAACACGGCATCAGTTATCAGATCTGACAGGGATGGATGAGGGTAGTTGAAGCAGAAAAATGTGGGGGTGGGGGGGGTAAATAAACTCCAGAGGAAAGCTGAATATAGTGATCACGAAGCGCACATCACTTTCCCCGAATTCAGAGCTCGTCATGAAGCCGAACTACCTGCCTCACACACCTCCTCTGTCCTCCCCTCTCGTGTTCTCCCTCCCAGCCAAAGGACCAGAGGAATCGTCTGACCGCGTGGAACAAACTGTGCTACGGCATCGGTGGAGCTCCCTACCAGATCACCGGCAGCGCTTTGGGCTTCTTCCTGCAGATCTACCTGCTGGATGTGGCTCAGGTGATTTTAACACGAGACACACAAGCTTGTTTAGAAAAACTGTATTCCAGATTCTTCTACACATAGTTCATCCTTTTCATTAATTCTCTGGTGTGCGTATTTCTCGTAGTTTCCCCGTTGGGATGAGTTTTCGCCGCCCCGTATCACTTGAACACCCATCGTCATACAGGAGTCGGTCAAGCGTAGTAACCTGGACGCCTGCTGCTTTGCTTCGGAACTCAATTAGCAACTTAAGACCTTTTTTCCCCCTTTGCACAATGGGAACTTAATAAAAGGCCTTTTCGGCTCAGTAGGTGAGCCAACTGCAGTGGCTTTGAATGCTACTTTTGTTCTGGGGCAAATGTCACCTCTTCGGAGGAGGTTATGGAGACGCTCACTCGCCGTGCCATGGGAGGTCGGTTTTTTTGGCGTTCCTCTTTGTTTTGGATTTTGTGTCTCACTCTTTTTCCATTTCTGCCCCCTGTCTTTTTTTAGCTGGATCCCTTTCATGCCTCAATCATCCTCTTTGTGGGCCGGGCATGGGACGCTGTAACAGACCCCACAGTGGGTTTCCTGGTGAGCCGGAGTAGATGGACGGGCATCGGACGAATGATGCCCTGGTAGGTTTTTCTGAATCCTACAGCGGGACGTGCATTTTAGGACAGGTCCAAAAACGCCACGGGGATATCACATGATGATGGGAAAAGACTTGAGAATGTGTAACGTTTGTAACGTTTATATAAGAGTTTGAGAGAGTGTGAGCTAAAAAAAAAAAACCGCTCATGAGCCGTAACCATGGCAACAGAACAACTGATTCAAGATTTACATGTATCATTCAAAAGGGATGCCACTGATCCATACGTTTCCTTTTATTATAATAGTTATATAATGAGATCTTGTCTTGCTACAACATATTATTGATCTCACCTGACGTTACCATGGCGACCAGCCGGCATCGCGCCGCCTCTTTACTGAAGCGTGCTGGGATCTGCTTCAGCTCCCTGCCAGCCCGAAATGTGCGGTTTCGGTTATTTTGCCGTAAGCAACGTGGACATGCGGGTCTTAAGATCAGAGATTGAAAATTACGTGCTTGAGCGGGAGGGTTCGCACAAAAAAAAAGCATGACCTTGATGTTCTGCGGGTGGAGTGAAACCGGGTGCACAGCGGGAAGTGTGAGTCTTCTGAGAGGCTCTGCTTCCGAAAGCTGCTGCATTGGATGACTCACACAGGAGCCGGTCTAATTGAATTTACTGGCGTTTCGCTCAGCGTGGAGGGTATTTGAGTCAGAGATGCCGGCTGTGCGCTCTCTGGTTTGAAAGGGGGGTGGGGGGGGAGGGGAGGGGGGAGGGAAACGGAGTGTAACCGCTCCTTCTGTGATTGGTTCAACCCACAACACACCATCCGCTTCAAATCCAGAGGGGTGTGTCCGTCTTTGTGCGCGTGTGTTTGAGAGGTTGGGTCGAGGAAGAGCGCCACGCTTGGCTGGAGTACATGATCCTCCGTGGTAGCGTTTCAAACTCAAGTGAAGGAACCAGCTGTTAGATGTACTCGCTTACTCTTCTGTGCTGAAAATGTCTTGTATTCAGACATCTGGACTCGCACCAGTGTGGAACATTTGGTTTGTGTGCATATCAAACACTTACCGGTCCGAGCGTGTGGACTATGTAAATTGATTCATTCCCGAAGGTCACTTCCTGTGCTTTGCTGACCTCCAAACGTGCAACACAAAATGTATGTAGCTTGTGTGCGATAAGACGTGGCGGCGTGTGAGACTGTCTGGCCTCCATTTCCAGATAAATGAGCTCTCGTTAGCCCAATTCACTCGGACATTAGAGGGAATTAGGGGTTGATTTCTTTGATATTTCCCATGTGTGCCACACGGGAGGGCAGGCGCGGGGTTCACATGACGCCGTGCGAGTGCAGAGGTGTCACGTTCAATGACAAAACAATATCTCTTGAATGACAGCTCAAGGAAAAAACCCTAAAGCTATAAAATAGTTGACTAAATCAAATCCCAGGAACCCAAGGAGTCTTTTTCATATTGCTTGTTTTATCCACTTTTGGTTCACTATAATTTAACAACGACAACTGAGAAGCTGGATTTAGACAGAAGCTTGATTATTTTTGGTTTAGCACCACTTCGCCTGTTGGGGTGTGTCGATCCCATTAAACACACAAAATAAATCGAAAATGTCAGTTATGACCCGGGGGACTTGTGTAAACCAGTATCCTCGTGTTCAAGGGCAGTGTTTGTTGATGTGAGTGTCTTGAGGTGGCACCAGCTTCTCTGGCTGAGGTAAGCTGGAGGACGTACTGAGGAGAGGACTGGCGTGAGAGGGAGGTGGAGCAGAGCGGCCTCGCCGTGGATCCATCCTCGTCCCCTTCTGCAGCCGAGACTGAGCTCTTTCTCCGCACTAGAGGTCTAATGAGGCAGAATTACAGGAATTTTTCTTAAAGCGGCCACGGAAGAGAATAAAAGCAGTGACTATAAGTCAGGGAAAATGAAAGGGGCGGATTGTAAAGCTACAGTAACCGTTTAATAATTGATTAAACACACTCAGGAAACAGCCGGACAACTTTTTTTTGCCTCGGGCCACAAAAAAATATCCTGGCTTTTTTGCTAACACGCATTTTCCTTTTGAAAAATACCTCAGATTGTGGCCTCCTAATGAAGCCCCCCCCCCTGCACTTTTCTTCCCAGGATCCTTTGCTCTACTCCGTTTGCCGTGCTGACCTACTTCCTGATCTGGTACGTGCCTCCTTTTGAGCAGGGGAAGGTGGTCTGGTACCTGGTCTTTTACTGCCTCTTCCAATCAATGCAGACGGTTAGTATGTCACGTGGTCACTTAGTTCCCCCTTTGGTCCCGGTGTGCGTGCGGCGCTGGCCTGACTGTGTGCGCTCTCTCCACGCTTTGCAGTGCTTTCACGTGCCGTACTCGGCGCTCACCATGTTCATCAGCCACGACCAGAAAGAGAGGGACTCCGCCACCGCCTACCGTACGTCGGCTCACCCGCGCCCTCTGAAGGCGGTCACGCGTGTGTTGTCATAATGTGACGGTGCATTTCTGCGTGGCCCTCAGGTATGATGGTGGAGGTGCTGGGCACGGTGCTGGGCACAGCGATCCAGGGACAGATAGTAGGCGGAGCCACAAACTGTCCCACCGAGCCGGGTGACGTGGACGGTGGAAACTCAACCAACACGTCCACAGTTTCACTGGACGAGACGGTGAGTCTCCTTTCCGCCTCTTGCATTGCTTCTGAAAAGTCATGATCCTTCGCATACGGCGTTTACTTAATTCAGTTTTCCTCCTGTCCACAGAAACAAGCCTACTTGATCGCTTCAGGCGCCATTTGCATCATCTACGTCCTCTGTGCGGTGGTCTTGTTTCTGGGTGTGAAGGAGCAGAAAGGTAACTAATCATTAACTACCATGAGAAGTTATCAACGCCACGGAGAAATATGCCAGTGTTTGTCGACCATGAATTCTTTGGTGAATATAATATCAATATTCGAATATTTATTTTGCAAAGCAATCACCATTTAAAAAAAAGTCCTACATACCAGAACATTTTGTCTCATGATACTTGCTCTGCAATGTGATCCTAACTTTGTCCTCTTCTGCTCCTTATTGGATTACAGAGAGCGGGCGGCCAAAGACAGTGCTCACCTTCAGTCAGGGCCTGTGGCTGGTGCTGAGCTACGGACCGTACATCAGACTAGTCATCGGCTTCCTCTTCACCTCTCTGGCCTTCATGGTAATACTGAAGCTCATGATGTCACCACCTCTCATGTTGGACAGAGAAGCGTTAGAGGAGAAGATTGATGCCACTTTCTCCGGTGTCTATTGAATGAAGCCAGGAGATAATTATCTTAGCTTAGCTTAAGGACTGGAAAGAAAACTTGTGGTTTGTAAACTTTGGCTTTTTTGGGTATTAAACAAAGTAAATATACAGATTAATCAATTTAGTTGGATTTAATTCATTGTTGACTATTTTGATAATTGGTTTGGGAAATTTTGGTTCCATTTCAGCTTCATAAATGCAAATATATTGTTTTTAATCTGTAGTTTGCATTGAGATACATTTATTTATTTATTTTACAGCTGCTGGAGGGAAACTTTGCCCTTTTCATCACCTACGCTCTGGGCCATAGGAAAGACTTCCAGAACATTCTACTGGTCATCATGGTGAGTTCTTCCATTTTCTACTGAAGTACGTAAAAAAAAAAGCCGTTATCGCTGTGACCTTTGTAGGACGTCTGTCTGGCCCTCCTATCCAGTGTTAGCGGGCCTTTTGGTTCCTCCTCGGAGGCCTTTCCTCAGGCGAGGGGGCGCATGGTGCCGCGGCTGAAAGGGCAGATTTTCAGGGTGAGAGGAGGTGTTGTTTGGCCTCCTGGGAACCCGTCCTCTCAGTCACACGCTCGCTGGCCCTCAGCGGGAGGTCGAGAGAGAGACGGTCACACGGCTTTTGTTGCCCCGGTGATCCCTCACTGCCACCATGGGACCTGCCGCCATTGGTCGCACCCTCCTTCGCGTCCTCCTCTCTGCGGGAAACATTTTTGGGCACCATTGGGATGTGATTCGTGGGGGTAAATTCAATATTTGGTATTGTATTGGCCCACAGTTTGTATTCATGTTCATTTTCAAGTTGTCGGTAGCGAGTTCCTTAACACCGGTTGACCTGGAGGTCAGAGGTCGTCTCCCCCTGCAGGGTTAAGTAATGACTACACAAAGCACATGTGCCTTTGTCCCTCGACCTCCCGCAGTGGTCACTTTATTCTTCCCAATTCTTTTCATTGTTAATCATAACAAATTAATGTTACGTTATTTTTTTTAGGTAACTTTTAATGCGCCTAAGCTGCAGCCATGGTTATGGATATAGGGAGGTTGTGGTTATATGATGAAATATTTGCCTGTGCTACGTTTAGATTGGGAACTCTATAAACCATTCTGCTTGGTTATCTTAAAATAACATGTAATCAAATTTCTTTTGTCCAGCTTTCCGGGGCTCTAACCATCCCGTGGTGGCAGTGGTTTCTGACCCGGTTCGGGAAGAAGAAAGCGGTTTACTTCGGCATCTCGGTGAGCACAAACATGCTCGTTTTTGGTGGAACTTTAAGGCAAAGACGTGTCCTTATGGGATTGCTCACATTGCTTCGCTCGCGTCCCACAGTGGGCGGTACCCTTCATGGTCCTGATCGTCGCCATCAAGAGCAACCTGATCGTTTCATACGTGGTCTCGCTGGCGGCGGGTGTGAGCGTGGCGGCAGCTTTCCTCCTGCCTTGGTGAGCCGGAGTTCATGCACAGAAGCCGCGAATCGACGCGGCATTCATACTTATGGGGCCTCTGACCGTTGCGTTTGTGCTTGCAGGTCAATGCTTCCCGATGTAGTGGATGACTTCAAGGTCAGAAACCCGGATGTTAATGGTCACGAAGCCCTCTTCTACTCCTTCTACGTGTTCTTCATCAAGTTCGCCTCTGGAGTGTCCCTGGGTGTCTCCACACTCAGTCTGAAGTGAGTTAGCCGATAAATACCCTCATGTTTCTGTCCGTTATTCTTGTTATGCAACGCTAATAGGGATCAGCTCAGCGTTACGGATGATCGGGCCAGTCATCATGTGCTCGACAGTCACATGAACCTTCGCCAGCCTCGCCAACTTTGTTTTTTTTTTTTCTGCAGATTTGCCGGCTATGTGACTGGCAGCTGCTCACAACCGGAGGCGGTCAGTTTAACGCTGAAGGTGCTGGTCTCTCCTGTGCCGATCTTCCTCATAGCTGTGGGACTGTTGATATTGAAGACGTACCCTATTGACGAAGGAAGGAGGCAGAGCAACCGAAAACTACTGCAGGAAAGGCTGTAAGTGAAAAGGGAATGCGCGTAAAGAAATATATTTAACAGACCACACGGATGTTTTATGCTTAATTTGGGAGAAACACGCAAAGCTGGACACATGTTGTTGTGCAGCAGGCCGTGTAAAGACCGAGACGCTCAATTTTCTCCGCACACCTGAGCTAAATGAAACCTTAAAAAAAAAAGAAAAGGTTGTTTTGCTCCAGTGTTGCCGTGCGTTTTTTTTCCACTCGGTCTGTTCGGGCCAAGTCCTTTATGTGTGTGTGACTCTTGGCTCTTCTCCTGTCCTCTTTTTAACAGGGACTCTGAGTCTGAAACTTCAGCGCTTGGGAGCGAGGTGTAACCGCAGAGGACGAGCCAACCGCCAAAGCCGCTTTAAAAAAACGGCTCGCACAGGCCGTCAAGGGTCACGACCTGGAATAACGCAGGAGAAACCACCCAGCCGCCGCCATCCAAACACGATCCATTAACTAGCTCGCACCAATGGATCACACTCGCCCTCTAGTGGCATCTTATTGTGTGGGACACACACTGTCTTTTTTGTGGCCTTTATCTGCTGCCGTGTCCCAACTGAACTCATCTCCTAAAACTAAAGCACAACACAATTCTCTCATCATTGCAGGATATTATTGTCAGGTAGTGTAGAACCTTGTTGCTTTCACCTCCAAATACATATTTTTCCCCTTAGAGGTTCTTAACTCTTTAGGTGAAACTGAGCACTTATCTTTTAAAAGGAAGTCCTGTTATGTTCTGTTACTGGTCCTATTCGCTTATACGAGCAGTACTTGTTTCTATCTCGCTGTTGGGTTTTCCTCCCACCGAGAAATCAAAACTGTTTTTGCAGAGATGCGTTACTGTATTGTTTACTGAGATGTTATTTACCATGACTGATTGTTAGCAGCTCAACCATTTCTTGGTGCGTTGCATACTGGGTATTTTTACACTCACAGTTCATACTGAAATACAAGGTCGTGTTTGGGAGACAGCTTTAGATCTTTGGTGTTTCTTGTTAGGTATTTATTTGTTGGTGTGTGTGTGTTTACTTATCTCTTAAGACTCTATTGTTTAAACAATGCTCTGAAGGAAATGTACACTACCACTCCATACCATACCAGCACTATTCCACTAATTGGAGTTGTATGGCGCTGCACATTTTCTACTTTTCATTAGGTGTCGCTGTTATTAGATCATGTAAGAAAGGCCTGAAACAATAAGTGGTCTTGAATCTTCTGAAGGGGGAAAAGCAGCTCGTGGTAAAATGCACTGCATGTCTGAATCACTGCCTTACGCACATACCATGGACATGTTGTTATGAACTTTTTACAGATTATTTTCCTTTTTTGCTACCGAGGAGGGTTTTGCCATCCCACCTTTTTGTGCTTCAGCATTGCAGCCAATCTCTGGCAGGTTTAATAGACATCTGTGAATATGCTTTTGCTGCAAAGTCCACCCCAGCATCCATTTAATCGAGCATTTTCTCATTTCATTTCCCAAAGACTTTTATTTAACTATTTATTTGAACTATGCGAAGGATGATCATTTTGCGCATAAAAGCACATGTGTATGACGTGTCAACAGTGACGGGTTGTTGATGAATGTGAGTGATTTTTTAAGTTGTGTGTGAAAGATTGAGAACATCAGAGTTGTATGTTGGTTTATTTAAGAAAAGAAAATGACACAAATTGCTCTAATGTGACAAACAAGCTGCTTCTGCTGGTGTTGTTACTATTTAAAATCAACTGCTCAAACCCAGTTCATTTCTAATGTAAAGTTAACGGAGCAGAGTCACATGATGCCTTTTATACATCCTCCCATCCGTATTGGTTAAGTTATTAAGATTCTAGAGAAATGTATTTTACTTGATGTATCAGAGTTTTCATTTGAAATTGCTCTGGATAAAGCACATCACCTTTGGGTATTCATACGAGTCTATATGTGTAATATGTATATAGTGTTTTCCTATTTTGATCAGCAAAGAGATCCATTAATGTGCTGTAAGGTATTTCGATGAAGCCTGTGAATAAAGTCTGGCAAAAAAAAGAAACCTGCGAATGTCTGTGCAATATCTTTGGACTAAAATAACTAACTGTTAAGGCTCAGATGAGTTTTTCTGCTTGCCAAATGGAAGGCACAGCAGCCTGTGGGCCAACGAACAAAAAAGACCTTGATTAAGCAGAAGATTTATGTTCCAAACCTTATCATAAGGTTTCATTATTCTAGATATCATGTAAATGCAATGCTCATGTAAATCCCAATAAACATGACTTTATTTTACAGGAAATGAGCAGCCTACAGATTTTAGTATTGCATTAAATTAATGAAATATAACCATACAGGCACGTGTTCCGACTACGTCTCAATCATTTCACTTATGTATCTTTAAGTCGGTGTCTTAAAACATCGTTTCCTAAACCGCCTGTATCGAGATGACTAAAGCAATGTGATGCCAAACACTGGTTCCTTTTAAATACTTTTAAATGAACCAATAGTAGGCTGAACTTGTTTGGCAACAGTCGGCCAATCGAGCCTCGCCGCTAATTACCTCCAGCTGTGGCCGAGCGGCGCTTTTACGCGCAGATTGAAAGTTAAAGATTGAAGGACAGCAGCTTTTTGCGATGAAAGCGAACTGGTACCTCAGCATCTTATGGAGTGTTTTATCACTTAGTCACCTCAGCTGCGCGCTGGACACGGACGAGTCTCCATTTAGGATTAGGAAAAGGACCAAATCCAAACCGCCAGGGACAGGGGACCGGGGACCTTTTACGAAGCTCCGACTTGCAGGCACTCGACTCGGTTCACGGGGGCCTTACCTTCCTCCTCCTCTTCCTCCTCCGGCACCTCGATCCGTGCGTCCGGGAGACGCAGAGGCAAAGACCCCGCCGGACTTTGCGTACCTCCCGGACGTCTCCGTGACCTGCTCCACGTCGGACTTTGTCGTGCGGGTCAAACCGTCTTTCTACGGTCTGGGCGCTGGAGCCGAGGAGCTCAAATTAGGCAGCAGCTGCAACAGCAACGGGGTCCTCAGGCCGTACGGGGACCTGCTCTTCACGTATCCGCTGACGTCTTGCGACGCCGTGCGCGAGGTAAGGTTTGAGTCCGTTGTTCTCAGACGGTCTCTGCATAACCCTGAAACGCCAATGTCCCTCTCTCTCCTCCCCTTCTCCCCCTCCCCTTGACAGTCGCCCTGCGGTTATCTGATCTACAAATATGTGCTCCATTATGAGCCTTCGCCAAGACGTTTACCAGGCAGAGCGCACCGGATCGATGTCGACATTGAATGCCGTTACCACAGGTTGGACTTGTCTCCCCTCCGTTTGAAACCGTGTGCGTGCGCGCTATTCACAATCTCCAAAACATGTTCAGGAATCACCATGTGTACCAACTGGCTGTGCAGCCCACATGGGAAACGACTGTTGTGCGTAAAAGGCTGAAGGGGGCTCCAAGTGACTTCCTGATGGAGTTGATGGATGGTATGTTTTAAAGAAATGTGTATTGCGTTGATAAAGCGCATTGATAAAGCGTTGATAAATGGCTCACTTGATTGTGTGATTTGATGCAATATATTTGTATTGATCAGATTCATGGAGCAGACCAGTCAAGTTCCAAGAGTACCAGATTGGAAAGACCATTAACTTGCAGGTCTCCGCTCCTAATATCACAACTACTGGGAAAGTCTATATCAACACCTGCTATGCTACACCATCCAGTGGCTCTACATCATCCCTCAAATACGCCATCATTGACAATTTTGGGTCAGTTTCATAGACCGCAATATACCCTTGAGGTCGTGATTTGCATTATGCATCATGTTGTCTTCATCCATAGCTGTATGTTGGACAGCAAGAGCGACCCAGGGGGCTCTCAGTTTATCTCTCGGACAGACAAGACCCTGAGATTCTCCCTCAAGGCTTTCCAGTTTACGTTCGACCCGGACACTGAGGTGAGCATCATCGTTCTCTGCACTCACAAAGCTTCTTTCTGCTTAACCAGGTTTCCATTTTCAGGTCAATATTCACTGCAAAGTGTTTGTCATGGCGGAGGACCCGGGTCCTGCCCACAAATCATGCACCTACATAGCAAACAGGTGAGTGCTCACACTATAGAAATTACATTTGACTATGTTTGAGTATTTTTAGGTTTTGGGTCCCAAATGATTTGAGCATATTTGTGGTGATAGATGGAAGGCCCTCGCTGGGGATGACTCCGTCTGTAAATGCTGTGATTCACAATGTGTGAGTTCTAAAGCTCGGCGGGCCTTGACGGAAGGTGTGTGTTTTTATTATTTTTTAGATTAACCTTAATGGAAGTATTCATCCATCACTCCTGGTATTTTTGGTCTGTTTGCTTTAAAGCGACCATTCCTTATTTTGTCTTGCATTAGTGCCATTTAACAACCTTGGTGTGAGCTGCCTGGTTTTGGGGATTTCAACAGTAGATGTCCTGGTTTCACAACATAATCCGCAATTTCACATAGAGAACTTTTCCTCTCCATATCTCAAACTAGGCATCTCGCACCAAACTATCACTCTGTAAATACTTCTATTGGTAAGAAGAAATATGCATATTTAAGTTTTTTTGGATGAACTGTTTCCTTACGGAAAGTGATCATTAAAAACGTCTCAACTTTGTTCAAGGTTCTGCCAGCAGTGGTCCACTGTTGGTCTCTGACCAGCCGTACTCTGCAGAAGATAGCTTTCCACCAGACGGCGAGGCCACAATAAACCACAACGATGAGCTAAAAAGTGACGAGGACCTTTGGGAAAGTCCAGATTTTGTAGAGAACGATTACTACGAAGAGCAAGACTACGCCGATGAAGAGGAGGGTGGCTTTATCCTTGGAGCGATGCCAGAACCTGATTTGGATGAGTTAGGTTTTCAGGGAAGGGTCTTTACGGACGACAAAGAGTTTGAAGTGAAGGATTCAAATCCGTTCGAAGAGGATGGGTTCGAGTATGTAGTAGAGGAGAGTGATTTGAACCAGAAGGAAGCCGAAGTGGCGCGACATTGGGTGGAGGCGGCGGAAATGTTCCCGCCAGAAGAACACCTACAGATGCTCGTATCTGAAGGTGAAGAAAACACTAAGCATACAGGTGGAGGAGGAGGAGGAGAGGATCTGTGGACGGACTCTGAGGTGGAGTGGAACAATGATGAAGGCCAGGCAGATTTATTAAATGATGGTGAAATGACCTGGTTTTTCAGATGGAGGTAGCATTAGTTAATGAATAGAGAAGTACTCTGCTTAAAGACTTTTGTAACTCTCCATGATGGACAAATATTCAAACTTATTTCAATAAAAACATGAAAATGCAGTTGGATTCTCGTCATAACTTAAAACCAAACATCACAATTCCCTTAAATGATTAATTATGTTTGATATTTCCTAAAGATTAGACATTGCGTCACGCTGACCTCACAATTTAATGTCAGATGAACCAATAGAAAATATGTACTTCAGACAAATTTCTGTCCATAAATCTTTATTCTTTCCATTTTTAAGTGATTTATTACAGTGTCTGAAACCAGTTTGAACTATATATTAGTTTTACACAAATGAGCAATCGCTGAGAAAAAGCAATGAATTAACTAAAAGCAGCAAAAAGGGTGTTTACTATTGCATGTCTGGTCATTGTTTAATTAAAGAGATGCTTTAAATCAAATGATGTGGGATTCTTAAGAACATAAATTTGTCCCATACTTTGTTCTTACATCCCAATATTTAAACATTCAAATAAAATATTTTGCTTGCAGAGCCCCCCCTCCCACCCCTCTGAACAAGAAAACAAGAAAAATAAGTTAATCAATTTTTTTTTAACACATATTGGTGGGGAAACTCTTGTAGCACTGAGACATCATTCCTGGATAACTGAAATGTACAAAATTGTGCAATATTTACAGATGAGCGCCCAAAAGTCCCATTGAGTACTGACTAAAGCTCTGATTCAGCAGGACATTAAGTGGTACAATCAAACACACTAGAGGGCGATGTCTTCCATCTTGTGCAATGCAAAGGTAAATATGCCGTATTCACTAAGTAAACTCTTACAGAAAATTAAGACCCACACCATTAACATTAAGGTCAAGGGATTTTCCAAATGAAACCTTTGAAACAAGCGTCCCATCTATCCTGATCCAGTTTTCTCGTCTCTTACACAACGGCCAACTTGCAGAAGATTCAGCGTTAAATTCTTCCACAGATCTCATTCAGTCTTTACAATTATGTCGATGGCGTCCCCCCTTCAACAGTACCTGCTGTCCCATTTGTCTCCGCAGCATCTGAGATTGGAGGATTAAGGTCAGAGTTAGTTTAATGCAGTCCAGAAGAGTTCTCAAAATCAAAAATGTATTTGGATTTTTAGCCACTGTAGCATGACGGCCCTTGGGAAGTATGTTGGTTAGTCACAATGGAATATCTCTGCTTTTGGATGGTATGCCATTAGTATTCCCCTCACAATTAACTGCAATAACTTTAATCTCTCTTTAAGGTGTGCCATACTTTGGTTTATGTGAGAATGCTTACAGGCTAAAATAGGCTGAACACTAAGCCTTTTAAAGCTGAAGAGAAAATGGAAAAAATAGGAATATCTGCCATTAATCCGACTTGGAGTTTTCCAACATTGTTCCACGGGCGTTAACAGCGCTGCTAACCTGCTTGCTCACAAATACATTTCAGCATGGTGACGAGTATGTTGCTCAAAACACAGCTGTGCCAAATTACAGAGTTGCTAGCATGGCTGTATAGATTTTTTTTTTTGTTCTTAAATTTCCAGTCTGACATTGATATATTTTATTTATAGTAAATAATCTCTCTTACTTGTGATACTCTCTTGCAGCGCGCCCTGTCCTGCAGTTTGCTCCGTCCCTTCATTGGCCTCAGTCCCGTTACCCTTCGGTTTGGGTTTCTTTGCAACAGGTGGTGGCATCTTGTCTCCCTTTGTTACAGAGGACTCCTCCAGCTTCTTCTCTACGGTTCCCATTGCCTCCAGCGCTGGCTTGGTCTCAATCGCCACCTTCTTGTTGCTCTTGGAGAAGATAAAGCTTGCTGTGCAGGAGGGGGACTTACGGAGGTCTCCTGGAGATGTTGGAGAGTTCAAGCTGAGGCGAGATGAAGGGACGGCTTTTGATCGGGCCGCGGTCCTCAGGCGGATGGCCTCCTGTAGGTTCATGGAAGGGGAGCCGGTCGTGGCAGACTTTTTTGTTGGGGAAACGACTGCAGGTAGAACCAAAAGAGACTGGGAATTTGGCAGAGCTGGTTGTGCGGTGACAGTGGGTGGTGGCGAGCTGGGTGGTGAAGTTGCGGGCGGTGGAGATGGGGCATTGATAATAATCAGAGACCTCCTGATTGGCTTCTGGGGAGCCTCACCACTGGCAGATGAGGTTGGGACTGGATTGCTGGGCTGCTGCTTCCTTAACGTGACCTCTGGTGGCTTCTGGGCGTCAAGAGTCTCAGCGCCACTTTTTGTTGAAGGGGTTAAATCAGGAGAGTGGTCCTCTTGAACAACAGCGGCAGAGGCCAGTTCTGGGGGTTGGTTTTCTGTGATTGCAGGACTAGACCGGTCCTTAATGCTGGCAAGACCAGGTGAAGGAATGTTTACAGGAGGAGAAAGAGCAGGTTCTTGAGACTTTTCTGGACAGTTTTCTAGAGCTGGTCGGATCAAGACTTCAGATAGTGCCAAAGGGGGGGGCTCCTGGGTAGCTGGACCATCTTTGTTCTGTGGCCCCACCTGAGGTTGATGGAGAAGTTGTATAGGAGGTGGAGGGGGGATACTCTGAGGGGGAGTGAGAATACTGTAAGATGAAACTGGACTTGTTTCAGATTGGGAAGGGATGCTCCCTTGTGGAGGATCAATCTCCTGTTCCGACTTGGATTGTGACGGGAAGGGTGGAGGAGGTGGAATACTTTGTGGTGGCGTGAGCTTAGTAGAGACCTCTGTAGGAGGCTGAGGGGAAGATGAAACCACCGCAACCAGTGTGACGGACCCATCTACAACAAGGGTAGGAGAAGCCTCTTTGAGGGGTGGGGAAGAAACGCCTATCGGTGGTGCCGGAGAGGTCACTTTTTTAGGGGCTGGCGGAGGAGTAGTCACCACTTTAGGTGGCGGAGGAGGGGTCTCCTCTTTAGGGGCTGGCGGAGGAGTAGTCACCACTTTAGGTGGTGGCGAAGGGGTCTCCTCTTTAGATGGCGGCGGAGGAGTAGTCACCACTTTAGGTGGCGGAGGAGAGGTCTCCTCTTTAGGGGCTGGCGGAGGAGTAGTCACCACTTTAGGTGGTGGCGAAGGGGTCTCCTCTTTAGATGGCGGCGGAGGAGTAGTAACCACTTTAGGTGGCGGAGGAGAGGTCTCCTCTTTAGATGGCGGCGGAGGAGTAGTAACCACTTTAGGTGGCGGAGGAGGGGTCTCCTCTTTAGGTGGCGGCGGAAGAGTAGTCCCCACTTTAGGTGGCGGCGGAAGGGTCTCCTCTTTAAGCGGCGGCAGAAGAGTCACCTCTTTAGGTGGAGGTGAAGGAGAGACCTTTTTAATAGTAGAAGGGGAAACTGCTTTAAGTGGTGGAGCGGGAGCTGTATATGGTGGGGGAGGTGGGATACTCGGGGGTGGAGGTGCAACCCCTGATAGAACAGATGTAGTTGTGCAAGAGGAGTCACCACCAGGAGTGGGTCTCTCTGGTGGCACCTGAACAGGCATAACTAACCCCCCCTCACCAATGATTGGGGGAGGTGGAAGAGGGAAATCCATCTCATCAGGACCATTGAGGCCCACCAGTGGTGGAGGTGGTGGGGGCCAGGACGACTCGGGGGACATCGTGGTCTGTTGGGCAGGGTGAGAAGGGGGCCCAAGAGGAGATGAGGGAGGTGGAAGGATGCGAGCTAATAAAATGGCAGGTAACGTATCCATGCGAGATTGTTTTACCTCTGAAGTTTGTGTGGATGTATTTTTGGCTTCTACTTCTTCTCTGACTGCTTCCAGCCTTCCATCACGTTTCTCTACGGCCTTCACTAATATCCCATTTATTATTTCACTTACTTGTGTTTCCTCAACTTGTTCTGTCACTTTACTTTTCCCATTCAAATGAACATTTGGCTGAGCCAATCTGTTGTTCTCCATGTGCTTCTCTGCACTTACAATCCCACTTTCTTGATCTTTCTTTGTTTCCAGCACATTCTGGAACTTATTAACAGACTCCACAGTCACTGCTGGTTTCTTGTGTTTTCTTTCCATCACTAAGCTCTTCACAGAGCTCTCTGCCGACGTAGAAGGAGACTGCCTCGGTCTCCTGTCCTTTGGATTCTTCTTTATGATAGCTTCAAGATTATCAGGTGCCGGAGGTCCTAGCAGAAGCTCAAAGGAACGCTTGCTGTGGGCCCATACCTCTGGAGGAGGGGCTGGTGGTGCATGGACTTTAGGTGGCGGAGGGATGTTGAAGAGTTCTCTCAGGGCCCTTACCGAAGGGCTGATGTTTACGATATCGGCAGATGTGTCAGGTTGCGGGAGAGGGGAGGAGCCTGGAAAAAATCTATGGAGCTTAGCTAAGATGCCTTTCTTGTTGGACTGCTTAGGAACCTGAGATGATGCGCCATCTTGGCTTGAGTAGCCACTGGAAGGGGATACTACTTTGCTCTGCTCATTTTCCAAAGGTAGTTTTCCCCTGTCCTCAACCTTTGCTGCTCTCTCTGCCTTAAGTGCCTGCACCTGGGATCTGATGAGACTAAATGATGCTGAACCTATAGAGTCTTCCAGAGAACTGGTGTCAGCAGTGTATCCAGGGCTGTCCCTGGTTCTAGTGGGAACCGGAGAATATCCCAATTTGTTTGTTTCATTTTCCGCACCGGAGGCTGAGCGGTTATGGATAGAGGATTCTCCTGCGTTGATCTTCAGCTCTGCCAAGTCACGTGATCGTCGCTTCATCTTATTGTGAAGGGAATAGGAGCGGCTTGGAGGAGGAGGTGCCCTCTTGGATTTCATGACGGAGAGGCTACGCACAAACGGACCCTCTTTTTTAACCCCCTCTCCATTAATAATGAGCTTGCCATTGGACGTGCTTTTTGATGCCTTGCTGATGGAGGAGTGAACGCTGATTTTGTCCTCTCTTTCCTGTGACCGCCTCTGATTTGGGGTGCTGTTCCTGGAGATGGTAGAGGAGTCGGAAACCAATGTCTCCGAGGACTCAGAGTTGCTCCAACAAGAGCTGTCAGACATGTTGATAGGGTTGTAGCGGGAGGCGGAGGTGACGTTGGAGGATCTGGAGGAAGTGCGGGACGGTGACGGGCTGGACAGCATCAGGCTGCTCTTGCTGACGGTGCGAACGCTGTTACGACTCTGTCCGCGGCTTATTTCCACCACCTCGATGGAGGGCGGCAGCACGGCGTTGGGAATGATTTTGGACATGTAGGCGGCCTGGGGTGACATGGACATGACGGCGCTAGACGGCGGCTGCTGGAGGCTGTTGGCGCCGGCCATCCAAGGACCAAGGCGGTCCTGATGACCGGCATGGTCGCCAAGCTGCTTGAGCTGTTCTTTGTTGAGGGGGCGAGTGTCGTTTATATTTAGAAGGGTGGAACTGCCTCCCTTTTGTGACCCTGCTGCCCGCTCTGGCCCATCAGTGGTTGAGCTGTCGTCAGTTTCCCCATTATAAAGCTGTTCCTCATCTAACCTCGGAGTCCGTGACCAACCCGCTCTGTCCATACCTGAGAGAAGGCAGGAGAAGTTCATTGCAATAATTAAGGAAATGGACATGCAAAGAAATCCTGTAGCTCATACAATTCCAACAGTAGTTTATTGGCAGATATCCTTTGTGACAATATATTTGAAATGCTTACCCAGTTCTCTTTGAACATGCTGAGGGATTCCCACAACGGTCCTTCTGTGTCGTCTCCTTGTCTTGGTCTTTTTTTCAGAGCTCAGGGGCCTGAATGTTGATTCTAGGCAGACAGAAAAAAAACCAAATCCAAGTTTAAAACGAATACAAAAACATCTCACCCATTACATGTTTCTACCAAATTAAGTCTGTGTCACTATATGTTGCACAATGACCAAGATGTAAATAGCATTTCTCTCGTGTGTGGAAGTTACCTTGCCGGGTGAGTCCAGAGCGGGAAGATCTTGTGGACACAGATGATTTTACAGAGACGACAGAAGACGTGTCACCCATGGTGCTGTCTGTCATAAACCCTTCCCCATCCGTCTGGACCGTCATTGTCGACTGGAAAGGGAACAGAAATATTTTGGTTAAAAAAACAAAACGAAAAGCGCATTTACAAGAACTATGCATTTGCTAAAAGTGCAAATAGAAACTAATTGTCTCACTTACGATTGTGCTTTCATTGTCCCGGAACTCCACTCCATTGTTTGTTTCTACAAAGAGAGGAATATTCATCAGATTTAAAATGTTTAAAATATTTTCTGGTGCCCACCCCTTTGAGTAGTATGTACACATCTGTCAACATGCTAGCATGGCACACTTTTAATTTAGTGCACAGGTGTAAGACTTTATCAATAAGAGTGCTTTGTACCTTCCTCTTGCATCATTTTCAATCCCTCCCGGGCCTCTGAGTGAAGGTTCTCCAGATACTTCGGCCTGCTGGCCTCGACGAACACGTTCTCCTGGTACAACGAGGGTGACGGGGTCTTGTCATCGTCATCTCGCTTTGGGACAGCTTGAAGTAAAGAGAGGGGAGAGGGTTAAGTCTGGATCAACTCAAAGCTGGTTAATATGGGAGTAGATGAGGGGGAGCATATGGACAGGATGAGAGCTTTCGGCGGTCTGTCGGGGATATTTAAGCATAAGCACAGTAAATATTTTGGGGGGGTTAATTACGCGAGAGTGTGTGAATTAAAAGGACTAAACTAGTTCCTTCCACCTGTGCAGGATTAAACTCAAAGGACTCTGGCTGGCTGTAACTTTTAAGAAGGGATTATCACACAACGAGAAGAAATCACAGTCAGGCGTACACGCTCACTTCTACACATTTCTTTAAAGTAATCCTCAGTGAGAAGGACCATTTGAATCGTTGTTGCATCCAAATTACATCAATTCAGCCTTTTATTAACCCATTCTGAATCACCTTAAAAACCATGTCATGAACCATGGGCGCAATCCAAAAATATTGTCCAGAAAAAAACAGAATAACCTCTTCTAATGACATAGATTTTCAATCTATGTGTCAATGTTATGGTGGTACATAAAATATACAATATCAATATGACAAAAACCTAGATTAGTACATCAGTCTTAGTAATTTGTTTTATATTTGCTGTATAACTGGCATGCGATTGAACTATGTGATGCCGATCCAGTGCCCTCACGCTGGATCATCGGGCTAACAACCTGCTAAGACACTTTCATGTAATCGGGATGGCTGCTCCACATTTAGCCTCCTGCTGTACTCGCCTGTAAAACCATGCTGGAATTAACCCGTAGCCTCTTTCGTTAGTGGTGCTCCAAACAAGACATCCGTAGATATGCAACATTCCAATACTATATTCTATTTTCCACTGAGACTAAATCCCAACATATGACAGTATCTGTTATGGTCCACAGCGATGTCCACACTTCACTGCCTGTCCTAGGCGTGGCAGTAGATACTTGATTAGCATTTTAAGTTAAACGGACAGGAGCAATTGGTTTCAGTCACAAAACAATTAAATTGGTCATCTGAAACAATCGGGCCACTTGCGCTCACCTTTCCAAATGAGAGTTGGGAAGCAGTAGAAATTAGTACCGGAGTTCTTAGTCAGAAGCACGACCATGGTGTCTCACAAAGTAATCCAAAGGTACGAACCAAAACTATGCCCGCATCGGGCTAAAGAAAGAGGAGCGAGAATCAGATGCACATGCAGTCAGTTGGCTCAAAAAACATCCTGGAAAAGATCCCAGCAGGATGAGGGTCCCGTTTGTTTGTGATGAAGTTGTTGTTGTTCCCGGTTCAGGTCCCGAGCGCTGAAGGTCTCGACGGCCAATAGACAATCAGAGCTCAAACACTAATCCTCAGCAGCCTAATTCCTGCCGGGCCTCTCTGCTGTATCTCCTCCCACTCGCCACCCGGCAGGACACCCAGCATCCCACTGTTGCCCCCCATCTGCAGGCACGCTCCCCCCCGATTGGTCGGTCAGGGCACAGATCAAACCCAGATCATACGTGTAAACATGGAGAGGAAGAGAAAGCTGTTGTCAGGGATTTGAGGCACGAAAGCGTCACGGATGGCTCCCCTCCTCACTTGAGCCCCCGGATTTACAACCGTTGATAAATAAACCTATTGGGCTTTGTCTGATCGTACACAGTGTTCCCTAAAGGACCGAAGAAACACGGCAAATATATTTACCTCTTAAAGGTTGCTATGAGGATATTGCTTAACTGTTTTGCCACAAGGGGGAGTAGGTGAATTAAAAGAACTTTTTTGTAAAAACCAGATTAAAAACATGTTTAAAAAAGGCCCGCAGCTCCACAGCACATGGACCCGTACACGAAAAATGATCCCTTTTGTTTCCAGCAACATTACATTACATGTGTTAATGTGCAGCAAGAATATAAAGAGGGATTCAATTATTCGGTTAATCAAGAGCACCTTTCGAGAGAGGTTCCCGAGTTGAACTACCACTAACTTTTTTTAAACTCGTTTTTCGAGTCTGAGACTTTCATCATTGTTTCCTTTTGGTTTCCCCCACTTAGGAAACACAGAGCTCATCCACAGCTGAGGAGTTGTTGAGGAGTTGTTCACTTCCGGGTGCGCTGAGCAGACACGACATGGAATGTCTGCCATCTGAACAAACGGACAAACATTCCCATGGTCGTGATCCCACAAGTGACTCAAGGCAAACGCGGTTTCACATCAAAAAGAAAAGATTGATGTCGTATGCTACGAGTACACAGAAACAAGTGGAAAAAGGCTGCGGTTTTGACAGAATCAGCAGCTTAAGTGGTGGCTGCAGCCTGTGGATGTCAACAGGAAGTTGACATGCATGTGGAAGGTGAAGTCTAGGACTCTGTGGGTGTCGCGGTACTTCGGGTGATTGGCGGGGCGCGGCTGCGTGTTAATGAGGGACTCGCATTATCGCCGGTTCTGTGATCACGTCGTCGCTCACTTCAAAAGGCACCATCTGCCACCGTTAACCGCCTGCTCGTGATTATGTATGAAAACTGATGTTTACATCTCGGATTTGGATTAACCGGCTAAATCTAATGGATACTCCAGTTTCAGGCTTCTCTTGTGTTAAAAAAAAAAATATTGAAATTCAGCTTCAAAGGATATTTTATAATTACATTTCGTGACATAAGGATTTAAAGTAGAAGATTGGAAACGAGGAAACATCTGTTGGCAATTTTGTGTTGGTAAAATGTGGCTTTTCTGGCAGAAAACAGACAGAAGGGTGCGGAGGTATATTGCGTCATCAACTACTTTAAGCAAATTACAACCAGTGACACACATCAGGGGGTCAGCAGTGTTTATGGTTTGCTGCCATGGCATAGCTCCGGACCTTTTAGCTCGGACTACTAATTTAAGATTAGGAGCAGAATCTGTCAGAGGGTGTTTGACCATTTATGTTTCCATCGAAGCTTCAAAATCAGAGCAAAAGAATGTTGCTTTACCGAGATAAGTCCACGTCTCTAAAGGTTTTTATTTTATTTCATAATACACCTGTCATGCTTTTCTCATGAAACCCATGAACACATCCCTGAACAAACAATTTAAAGTGGTACTTTTGCATGATTAAGAAACTTTCACAGATCTGCCAACTAAATATTCCATTGTATTAGGTAGGAGGTTCTGAATGCCCCTTCAGTTACATACTGAATCCTTAAAAAATAAAGCCAAAAAGAGGCCCTGTCTTCCTTTATTATGTATATAAGTGTGTATATATACACACTAGTGTCAACCTTCAAAATACTTCATTTTATGTTATAAGTATATGTACGGTTCCACCTGACAAAGACCCTTTAGACGGAGCCCCACCAACGCTTTAACGCAGACAAAACACCGCGGCCACGATGAGACCCTTTCTCCTGGGAATCAGACAAATGCATAACCCCCCCCCCCTCCTCCACCGTACTTTCTGCCCCGCCTGCCCCGACCTGCCCCGCTTGTCTCTCTTGTTTTGCTCCGGCAGGCAAGACGGCCACGCAGAGACGTTACTCTGCGCGGGCGAAGTCTCCCAGGAGCTTAAGCCTCTCCGATCAACACAAACCCGACCGAAAGCAGGACGGTGACGTGGGGAAAATGGCCGCAGGATCAGTGTTCATCAGAAAAAAGAAGAGGTTAAGAAACAGTACACACAGTCTCGACGCGCTAACGGGACACATCCGGGTCAAAAGCACGCGTGCTCCAATGATAATTTCCTGCGCTCTTGGTTGTCAATGAATTAAATATAAAACTTCTGGGCTGAAAGAAAGGAAGGCCGAAGAGCGGCGTGACGAGGACGGCCATCCAGGTAACGGATACACCTGTGCGATGTGGCACGCGGGGGTCACGCTCTACTTCACCGTCGGACAACCGCTAAACCTGGCACCTATCAGGACCCTCCAGGAATAGACTGCACACAGATGCACAATGTTGTTTGTGCAGGTGGACAGTTTTGCGCGTCAGTCATCGGTTTAAGTCCTTCACCTCCCAACAGTAATTATCCGTCACTGCGGTTTAAAACAGGTCAAAAGTAAGCAAACTCCCGTTGTCAAAGTGAGTGTTGCTCACAGTGATCTCTCGATAAGCAACTTATCAAATCCCATTGAAAATGAAAGGAGAATGTATTCAGTATTCAGGCCCGCTGGAGGCCGTCAAACGCATGCAAAGCGTTGCCACAGTTTCCTGCTTTTAATAAAACATGTCCAGGCCGTCAGTAGTAGAACCAGAGTGAATAGAAGCGCAACTGATAAACAACGTGTCATTCTTTGTTGGTAAGTGTTAGTTTAGCCACAATTAAGGAAAAATAAACATTGTTCCATCGTTTTCTAGATCCCTGAGAGTATGAAATAACAAAAAACTGCTCCAGACTATTAGAATATCAGAACATTTGGAAGAATAGCTGCTTACTTTAAACGATTCCGAATGACTTTAGTCATCCCAGACTTTTCCTCTCCCACCAACCAACACGTTTAACGACAAAATAACTGCGATAAGTGTGACAGCCCCAGCGGTCTTTAGAGCTAGTCACCAAAATAATGAAAAATTACAAAAAAGGGAGATCTTTTAAATGGTAAACAAAAGCTACTTAACCATATTCTGAAAATATAATTATGCTACCATCAACATTTATCTCGATACACCTTAGCTCCGAAGAGCATTCTCTAACTGCGTGGCCGTAAGTGTTGTTTATTAATCGAACATGGCCAGAGTAAATTAAAAGGTGGATCTCCTCCCTAACACCTCTGGGTGCTGTATAAACACCAGCTTATGCTGCTGTCATCTGGGCAAGTCCCTCCAGCACAGACAACGCATGCATGCGTGCGTCACAAAAGAACTGTGTTCTCCGAGAGGAAAAACCATGAATAACCAACAGCGTGTGCACCTTCACTGAACCCGAGTGAGGTAAAACCAATAAAGTTATCTTCTACCCTTTACAGGCAGCCACATTGATTAAAAACAGCCATTTGGCCACTAAAGTCATGACTGGCACACATTTTCCTTTCAAGACAATAGCAGTTTGTGCAAAGTCACAGTTGCACATATCTGCACATATTGACAATGAAACAATGTGTGATTTCATAATTAGTGACTGTTGCCGTTCAGCTGACCTGCTCGGTTTGAGTTTGTTAACACTGAAATCAAATAGAAGACTGCAAATAAAAGTAAAAGGCACTTGATGAAATGAAACTGGTGAGCAATATTCAGTTGGGACCACCGGGCAAAACTTGCATTTTATTTACTTCTCTTCCCATTAGGGGAAGTGAATATGATCTCTCCTGCTACTCACTTGTTGAAATTAAATCCTAGTAAATGCAAATGAAGCCCTGTGATAATAAACAAGCATTTGTGCAGCTGTTTGCTATACAGCGAGTCCAGTCCTCTTCACAAGTTCCCACAGCGTCTTAATGCTCACACAACCCCCGAGCAGAGAGTGTGTTTGTCTTGACTTAATTGTCGGATATTTTATATACAACAAAAGTCGCCCTTAAGTAGAGCAGGAAGAACACCTCTGCGCCGGGATGGTCGATTGCTTTCCGCCAGGGGACAGAAAGCGAAACGCTGCGACATGTTTCCTCAAACCTGTTCTCCTGGCCTGGTATTTATGTCCTCGTCCTCACAACACCACTACAATAACTACGCAAACACACAACCGCAGCATTGTAAACAATGTCAACGGTAGATCTACCATTTTAACGGCGACCTCATTTTCCATAAATTAAACGTGAACATGATTTTGACCTTCGACATGTCAGTTTTGTGGACAGCCTCGTGTTTTTCTGTTAAAAAGTTTCACTGCACACTGCGGTATGTACATAATAATGCACAAATGGATCACAATAACGATGTTACAACTTGTGCCCTACGGCCTCGTTGTTTTTCACTTCCTTAAATTCGTGTTATTATCCAACATTATCTACCGTCCATAAAAACCAAAATTAACTTGGTGATGAACAGCTGCAAAACCTTCATACAACTAACGTGGTAAAAGTTTATCGGCGTTCAAATGAACCTGGAACTAACATCGGGTGTTAAGAAATACAGTGAAGAAGCAGATAAATAAACCGAAGCTTAACATTTCTTCCTAAATTAAGCAGCGTCTATAACTAAAGCCAATAACTTAGCCAAACTGAATGTCTCCTATGATCCTTCACCGGGCATGTACACACACACACACACACACACAAAGGGCTCCCTGCTTCTAACCTCCTCAAAGAAATATCTTTATAAAGCTCAGGAATGCGAGGAATCTCCGAGGGAGTGTTTTCGGGCAAACAGGTGACCTTCTCAGTGTACCTTGGTAGGACTGCACGACCCAATCGGTCATCACTCAGCCTTATTTGTCCATTTACCAAAACCAAGGCCGTTCCTCTTCAAACCCACGAGGAGGTCACGGCGGGATGGGAGCAGCGGTGGGAGGGGGGGGGGTTGCGTAAGAGAGGCCCGACCTGCAGCTCCGCAGAGGACAGGGTGAGCCGACGCGTCCGACGGGCGCGCAGAGCGGGGCATTAATATTGGAAGGAATCCGCATGTGACAACAGATAATCTCCGCCTTTTGGCTCAGGATGAAACGGCGTTGGGCTAATCAGAGAGAGGCTTCAGTAGCTTCGCCCCAAACCGACAAAAAAAAAAAAAAAAGAAAAAAAAAAAAGGGTCCACGAGGCCACAGATCATCGTTGCAAAGCCGGCCTACTGCGCGGTCCCCGATCTGGTCAAACTCCATAAACGTTGTTTACAAGAAGCGGCCCGACCAGAGCAAAGGGTGAGGGGAGAACACACCGTGTTTGGAAGAAGACAGAATTTGCTGCTTTTTAATTGATGGGTCAAATAAAACGATGTTTTTACGTGCAAACAATTTGCTTTTGCAACTCAAATGTTGTTGTTTTTGCTTCGATCGTCACCCTCGGCCAGAGGTGTTCGATGTTCTTTGTCTCTGTGCTACCTTGCGGCGTGCCCTTCTCCTGCAGTAAACCTTCGCCTGGAAGCGTTTCGGGAATCGCTGTCTAATCAGAAGACGCGCCTGGTGGGGAGTGTGCCGCTGTTGTTGTTGCCAGCATCTACAACACGCAACACGTCTTATTAACCGACAACGTAAATCACACTCAAAAGTCAATACTTCTGCAGTGTTTCTTAATAGATTGTTGAATATTAAGTGTGGCCGCCATCACCACATCGTTTAGTTGCAACTTCA